TCAACCACGACACAGCACCACCTCAACCACGACACAGCACCACCTCAACCACGACACAGCACCACCTCAACCACAACACAGCACCACCACAACAACACCACTACAACAACACCACAGCACCATCTCAACCACAACACAGCACCACCACAACCACAACACAGCACCACTACAACAAGACCACAGCACCACCTCAACAACAACACAGCACCACAACAACAACACAGCACCACAACAACAACACAGCACGACAACAACAACACCACAGCACCACCTCAACCACAACTACAACACCACAGCACCACTACAACAACAACACAGCACCACTACAACAAGACCACAGCACCAACTCAACCACAACTACAACACCACAGCACCACCTCAACCACAACACAGCACCACCTCAACCATAACACAGCACCACTACAACAACAACACCACCACAACACCACTACAACAACAACACAGCATCACCTCAACTACAGAGCAACATAGCATCACCAAAAATACAGAGCAACACAGCACCACCTCAACTACAGAGCAACACAGCATCACCTCAACTACAGAACAACAAAGCACCACCACAACTACAGATCAACACAGTATCACCACAACTACAGAGCAACACAGCACCACCTCAACTACAGAGAAACACAGCACCACCTAAACTACAGAGCAACACAGCACCACCTCAACTACAGATCAACACAGCACCACCTCAACTACAGAGCAACACAGCACCAGGTCATCTACAGAGAAACACAGCACCACCTCAACTACAGATCAACACAGCACCACTTCAACTACAGAACAACACAGCACCAGGTCATCTACAGAGAAACACAGCACCACCTCAACTACAGAACAACACAGCATCACCTCAACTACAGAACAACACAGCACCACCTCAACAACAACACAGCACCACCTCAACCACAGTATATCACAGCACCACCTCAACCACAGTACCACCACAGCACCACCTTAACCACGACATAGCACCACTACAACAACACCACAGCACCACCTCAACCACAACACAGCACCACTACAACAACACCACAGCACCACCTCAACCACAAAATAGCACCACCTCAACCACAACACAGCATCACCTCAACCACGACACAGCACCACCTCAACCACAACACAGCACCACCACAACAACACCACAGCACCACTACAACAACACCACAGCACCACCTCAACCACGACACAGCACCACCTCAACCACAACACAGCACCACCTCAACCACAACACAGCACCACTACAACAACACCACAGCACCACCTCAACCACAACACAGCACCACCTCAACCACGACACAGCACCACCTCAACCACAACACAGCACCACTACAACAACACCACAGCACCACCTCAACCACGACACAGCACCACCTCAACCACGACACAGCACCACCTCAACCACGACACAGCACCACCTCAACCACACCAGCACCACCACAACAACACCACTACAACAACACCACAGCACCACCTCAACCACAACACAGCACCACCACAACCACAACACAGCACGACAACAACAACACCACAGCACCACCTCAACCACAACACAGCACGACAACAACAACACCACAGCACCACCTCAACCACAACACAGCACGACAACAACAACAACACCACAGCACCACCTCAACCACAGTACACCACAGCACCACTACAACAACACCACAGCACCACCTCAACAACAACACAGCACCACTACAACAAGACCACAGCACCAACTCAACCACAACTACAACACCACAACACCACCTCAACCACAACACAGCACCACCTCAACCATAACACAGCACCACTACAACAACAACACCACAACACCACTACAACAACAACAACACAGCATCACCTCAACTACAGAGCAACACAGCATCACCAAAAATACAGAGAAACACAGCACCATCTCAACTACAGAGCAACACAGCACCACCTCAACTACAGAGAAACACAGCACCACCTCAAATACAGAGCAAGACAGCACCACCTCAACTATAGAGAAACACAGCACCACCTCAACTACAGAGAAACACAGCACCATCTCAACTACAGAGCAACACAGCACCACCTCAACTACAGAGCAACACAGCATCACCTCAACTACAGAACAACACAGCATCACCTCAACTACAGAAAAACACAACATCACCACAACTACAGAGAAACACAGCACCACCTCGACTACAGAGAAACACAGCACCACCTAAACTACAGAGCAACACAGCATCACCTCAACTACAGAACAACACAGCACCACCTCAACAACAACACAGCACCACTACAATAACACCACAGCACCACCTCAACCACAACTACAACACCACAGCACCACGTCAACCACAACACAGCACCACCTCAACCATAACACAGCACCACTACAACAACAACACAGCACCATCTCAACTACAGAGCAACACAGCACCACCTCAACTACAGAGCAACACAGCACCACCTCAACTACAGAGAAACACAGCACCACCTCAACTACAGAGAAACACAGCACCACCTCAACTACAGAGAAACACAGCACCACCTCAACTACAGAGCAACAGCACCACCTCAACTACAGAGCAACACAACATCAACTCAACTACAGAGAAACACAGCACCACCTCAACTACAGAGAAACACAGCACCATCTCAACTACAGAGCAACAGCACCACCTCAACTACAGAGCAACAGCACCACCTCAACTACAGAGCAACACAACATCAACTCAACTACAGAGAAACACAGCATCACCTCAACTACAGGACAAAGCCACATCAGCTACTGGAGAACACAGCACCACCTCAACTACAGAGAAACACAGCATCACCTAAACTACAGAGCAACACAGCATCACCACAACTACAGAGAAACACAGCACCACCTCAACTACAGAGAAACACAGCATCACCTCAACTACAGAGCAACACAGCACCACCTCAACTACAGAGAAACACAGCACCACCTCAACTACAGAGCAACACAGCATCACCTCAACTACAGAGAAACACAGCACCACCTCAACTACAGAAAAACACAGCACCACCTCAACTACAGAGAAACACAGCATCACCTCAACTACAGGACAAAGCCACATCAGCTACTGGAGAACACGGCACCACCTCAACTAGAGCAACACAGCATCACCTCAACTACAGCAGAAAACAATACTAACTCATCTACAGAAAAACAAAGCACTACCTCAACCAAAATACAGCATCAAATTAACCACAGCACAGCAGCACATGGACTACAGCACCACCTCAAACAACACAAACTCAACCACAAAAACACCACCTCAACCAAAATACAGAACTACCTCAACCACCACACAATACAGCATCACAACAACACAGGAGCAACCTGACCAAAGCACAACATGGCAACACCTTTACTACAACAAACAATCAGATGAAACACAGCACAATAATCCACCTCAATCACAACACCACAATGCAACACTTCAACTACAGGGCCGCATATGAACACTTTGTAAAAACAGCAACAACAATCACAGTTTGCCATTATGTGGCGGTGACATCACCACGGCACTTGTGCCAAGCTAGGTGCACCCACAGCAGAGTACAAGTGTTGTAATGGCACAACACAGCATTATCTCAACCACAACACAGCACAACACTTTAACGATATAATCATTCCACGATATAACGATATAATCATTCCAGCCACACAACACGGCAACACCACCTCAAACACAAAAAACACAAACCTCAACCAACACAAAGCAGCACCTCAACCAGCGCACAAGACCGCCACAATCACAACACAACACTGCTTTGAAACTGCAACACAGCGGCATCTCAACCATGGCACTAACACCAGTTTAACCACACCACCTCAATCTCAACAACGTTTTAAACGACATCAACAACACAGCATTACCTTAACCACAACACAGCACACATCAACAAGTATTTACACTATGAGACTTCCTTTGCCAGTAGCAAGATATACTAATAGATTTTTACCCTTTTATCTGGCACAAAAACTGACACCTTGAAACAAGGGATCATGTTTGCAATAACCACAACACAAGCAGTCAAAATGCAAACAAAAAGAGACAACTCTGATAATTTACACTTTTGTTGTTCAGAGATGCTGCATAACTGGTTCTTGCATTTTGTTTCCATATCCATATTAATAATAATACGACAGTAATAACGGCATTTAGCTTGCGTGGTGGAAGATTTTTCCAAATGAGTGATTCATAAAGGCTTTAAACAGTTCTGTAGACAGTACTGTATATGTGTGTATATATACTAGCACTGCCCGGGATTTAACTTGCAAGCACTCATTAATCATTAAATAGAATTGTATGTATGTCGAACTTCTTTCGTACGGTACATAGCCAACCGCATTAATTGGAGGTACGAGAGATGGACAACAAAGCTAAGTTTGAGCAATGAAGTGCACGGCACATTGCATTAACATCGTCGTTTACAAATGGCGGGCTATTGGATATTCCAAGGTGTTTTGTCGAATTTCCGGGGAGAATTTTTTTCGTAAATCCGTAAAGGTGACAATTTTGCGGTGATGTCATCAGCAAGAGGAATTTTTTTTTTATTGTATTCAAGTTTCCCCTCGACATGCCATTTGGGAGATAGAGAGCGTGACAAGCGGTCAGACACTTGTGAATTATATATATTCATGTTTAAAATATAAACCACAGAGTAACAATGTACATTTGGAAGGCGCATTTCATCTGTACATCCCAATGCACTTGCCATGCATGCTCTTTTTTGTTAATCTATTTCACCCCACATACTGAAAATGTTGACAAAACTGCACCCTGCGCAGGACCATAAGGCATGGGGAGGCCTTCATCTAGCAATAGACAATGGTCACAGTTGATGATGATAAGTCTACCTAAGGCTTAGACATGGCCACTGACATGAACGGTCTATGCGACACCTCATGACATCGAGATGCCTGTAACCGGAGCGGCCGGGTGATGCAATGTCTCACTCGCCTCTGCACATTCTCCATGTGGCTTCGAAACGCCATGCAGTGTTGCTCTTCCGCCTCCTCCAGGTCCTTGGTGAGGCACTGCATGGACCGAGAGTAAACGGAGACTCTCTCTAGTGACGGCACTAGACAAACTCATTTCAAAGCGCTCACACACACAGGGGGAGATTGGCCACACAACCCCTACTTCAGAACAGGGACAAATTTTCAAGGAAAATATTACAATTACTTTAAAATCTACGTAGCTGTTGTGCAGAGTTTATGTATATCACTGTGTTGAAAACTAATTTATTTAGAATTGCTTTTTGTGTGTAGTTTGTTGTCCATTCCCCGCACCTCAGGTTAACAAGGTTGGCTACGTAAGGTAAAAAAGAAGTTCAACATACGTACACACAAAAGAAACCCAAAAATCAAACGACTCATAGCTTGTCAATATATACTGTTAGATTTATGTCACGTGTTGTTATTCATTAGTTAGAAACTTCACAAGTGACAGAATAAATACATTTACTACCAAGTCCATTATAGCACTCTAACAAAGTCAATGAAAAGTCAATACCATATATATTTGTTTGCCTTAATCTGCAATTTTATCCTAATTCAGCTGTCGGCATCATGTTCTTTTGCAGAGCAGTTCAAACCTTTCGTGTTTGGGTGGTTGACCCACAGAAGCAAATACCACAGAACTACCTCTGAATTCCCTTCAAGTGACCTCTGTGTCACACAGTAAGGAGACAGCAATTACCCACCCACTCTGCCACCACTGAGGGTAATGTTTGTTTTGTCGACAGTCAAATCATATATTTGGAATTCTCAGAGCTGGAAATTAGCCAAATTAAGTCCAAGTGCAGAGCCGAACTCAAGTAATTGTGTGTGTGTGCAGTTATTGATGACCGCATTGATACCAATAACTTACTCCACTTGAAAACCAAGTTTAATCAAAGGCAGTGACCTGTATTTGAAACAAGGATCTCAGCCATGCCAGCACTCGTGCACTTTCGTCTGAGTCACCCAGCCACCTCACTCAAACATTTTAATGGCACAATGTCACTTAAGCTCAATGTAACGGTGTGCTTGAACCATAGCTTTAAAGCATTTTTTCCTCTCGTTAAAGCATTTTCAAGCTTACGTCAGACAGGACAGGGCACGCAAGCCAATGTAGATGTATACTCGGTGAGCGATGCTGGTTCCTATAACACAGACCCTCGGAGGCCAGCCCGCGTTGATAAGAACCCTTGCCTTGATAACACTGTCCTTTCGATCAACTACGCGCTCAAACGTCTGGCTCAGGATCTCGAGGTCGCGGCAAAGCTCCTGGCTCTTGGCCTGACGCATCATGGCGCGCCATTGCTGAGTCAGCTTGATAGAGTTGAGCCGTGTGTTGTTCTCCTCCTTGGCCAGCTTCTCCTGCACGGGCGAGCAAGCGACAAAACATTCGGAGTATTCGGTCGGGACATCTTTAATCAACTGCAGAATCTGAGTTTCTTAACAAGGCCCACAATAATTTAGGGCATAGTCCACTTAGGGAACAGTGCACATTCGGCTACCAGTTTGGGCACATTATTAGCATTAATCTTTATTGACATTTGTTTTAAAATATTAATTTAAAGCCTTGATAAATCTCAAATGGAAGGTTTAGCCAATTTCTTTGTACAGCCACTGGACTAGAAAGTGGCCAGGAAATGGATTATTAAATCTAATACGGAGCTGTGAGTGTTATCCCTTTGTATGCGTGGGCTTTCTCTGGATAATAGTTTCCTCCCGCGTGTCAAGCACTGGTAAGTGATACTCATTAATGATCAATCATCTCAGGGGGCTCAATGCAAACAAACACGCTTCTGCACACCTTAAGGTACTGCATTAGCATGTCCTCCTTTTTCCGACGGGAATCTTCCTCCGCAAGAAGCTTCTGTTGAGCTTGCAGCAGCTGCTCCTCCTCCGTCAAAAACTTTTTACGCTTACCCGGCATCTGTTCAAGATTCGCACAAGACACGTGGAAGTCGCGTAAACGTGCAGCGCATGCGAAAACAGTGACGCATGCGACGCAGGAGCGATGCGTCTGTCACACGCTCAAGTGACTTCACCTAGACACGGACTCTCGCGGCACATTATCCCTCCTATAAGCCTCCGCGGAAAAGACAAAAACTTGTTAAGGGTCCACATCATTGTAGAACACAGAGAGTTGCAGGCTTTCTAGTGGCAGCATGCATCGCGAATGCAATGTAACATATCACATTCGGAAGCACACAATGTCACATATAGTCGGAAGACTATTATATTTCAACTGTGCTGTTCGCATTATACCATGCGACAAATACATTTCCATTTGAACCTCTCACAGTGAACAGGGCACCAGCATCTTGTGTCAGAGAAGAGCCCTGAGAGTTGATGTAAGTTAAAATATATTTTCGGAGTTAATTCAGTGGGCATCTTGATCAACACTGAGCACGCCTTGTATTTGTGACAAGGCTGAGGCCATCTGTTTGAGAGCCCAGCTATGAAGAAATATTGATCAGAAACATGGCCACCGGCGGGAAAATTTTAATAAAATATGAACAGTGCATGCTTCGGTGGACTTTCCCAGACCCATAATAGGAACACACGATTAGACACATAATACTATTAAACAGCTTGGGCAGAACATAACGCAAGGAGGGAGGATGGTAGACATATGGAAATGGTGACAAAATAGCAGGCAAAAGGGAGAATGCACACCAAGAGTGTGTCCACCATGAAGTGGTCACCCTCTTGGTCACCACCACCAACGATAACGATGTTAACCTCGTGGCAAATGAAACAAGTTAGCGGCAACACCAATCGACCATTACCTTGGGGTCTTCGGGTGTGTGACCGAGCAGTTGTGGGTAACGCCCGGGTAACGCTGGTGAAGAGAGGAATGAGTACAGAGGGTTAACATGTGTAAGTGGCAATGCAGGTAATTAGGTTAACAAGAGTAACCATTGCAACTCAAGGTAAAATGTAAAGAGGTTGATAATATATATTCTTGGTTCTTTCGATAAAGTCACGTTGAAGGGAAACAATAAAATAATAATATATAAAACAATATATATTATATTGCTAATAGTTGGAGGTTAGCGATGGTAATGGGGTAATGGTGGAACAATGGTAGAGTAGTTAACACAGGTAATGGGGTAACTGCAGGTTAAAGGGTAACATGAAGATGTTAACACTGTTAAAGAGATTAAAGAGGGTAATGCCGCGTTTACGGGATGACGCTGATAAATAAGTTAACCCATGTTCGCAGGGTAACGCCAGTAAAGGTTAACAAAAGTAGCGGGGTGTCATTGGTAGAGGTTATCCCATGTAACGGGATAACGCTAGCAAATTAATAAACGCAGATAACGTAACGGGGCAGTGAAACGACGTTGAGGCCAGGAATGGGGTAACAGGGCTAACGCGGGTAGGGCCGAGGCGAAGAGACGACACAGGGTAAGGGGGTAACTTTGGTAGAGGAGGTCGCGCGGGTAACGCAAGTGAAGATGTTAACGGGTGGGAGAGGGCTAAGTGTGTGCGTTGAATTTCTTTCGCACCGTGCGCAGCCAACCGTGCTCGTCGGAGGTGCGGGTGACAATGAGTAACGCGTGACACGAGTAACGCGTCACACTGAGTAACGCGAGTAACGCGTTACACTGAGTAACGCGTTACACGAGTAACGCGTTGCACGAGTAACGCGTGACACGAGTAACGCGTTACACGAGTAACGCGAAGAACGCGGCAACTGTGTGGAACTTGTCTACGCGTTAACAGGAATAACGCGAGAAACACAGAGTAATACGGTGACAGGGGTAACGCGAGTAACGCAGGTTGACAGGGGTAACGCGAGTAACGCAGGATAATAGGGGTAACGCAGATTGCCAGGGGGTAACGAAGGTTGCCAGGGGTAACGAGAGTAACGCAGGTTAACAGTGGTAACGAGAGTAACGCAGGTTGACAGTGGTAACGAGAGTAACGCAGGTTAACAGTGGTAACGAGAGTAACGCAGGTTAACAGTGGTAACGAGAGTAACGCAGGTTAACAGTGGTAACGAGAGTAACGCAGGTTAACAGTGGTAACGAGAGTAACGCAGGTTAACAGTGGTAACGAGAGTAACGCAGGTTAACAGTGGTAACGAGAGTAACGCAGGTTAACAGTGGTAACGAGAGTAACGCAGGTTAACAGTGGTAACGAGAGTAACGCAGGTTAACAGTGGTAACGAGAGTAACGCAGGTTAACAGTGGTAACGAGAGTAACGCAGGTTAACAGTGGTAACGAGAGTAACGCAGGTTAACAGTGGTAACGAGAGTAACGCAGGTTAACAGTGGTAACGAGAGTAACGCAGGTTAACAGTGGTAACGAGAGTAACGCAGGTTAACAGTGGTAACGAGAGTAACGCAGGTTAACAGTGGTAACGAGAGTAACGCAGGTTAACAGTGGTAACGAGAGTAACGCAGGTTAACAGTGGTAACGAGAGTAACGCAGGTTAACAGTGGTAACGAGAGTAACGCAGGTTAACAGTGGTAACGAGAGTAACGCAGGTTAACAGTGGTAACGAGAGTAACGCAGGTTAACAGTGGTAACGAGGGTAACAAGGCCTCACCGCTGTATCCACGTTCGCCTGACGCTTAGGGCGTCCTACGTCTCCTAGCAACGCGAACTCTCGCGAGATCTCAGGGATCGCGTGGGAAGGGGGGCGGTGAGAGAGAGGGGGGGCGGGCCGGGGTGGCGGGGGGGTAATCGGAAATCAAATCGTTGTTGAGCGCCGACTGTCTCGCCTCAACGGGAACTCTCGCGAGATCTCAGAGATCGCGTGGGGAGGGAGGCGGGGGGAGAGAGGGGGGCGGGACCAGGTGGCGGGGGGGTAATCGGAAATCAAATCGTTGTCGAGCGCCGACTGTCTCGCCTCAACGTGAACTCTCGCGAGATCTCAGAGATCGCGTGGGGAGGGAGGCGGGGGAGAGAGGGGGGCGGGCCGGGGTGGCGGGGGGGGTAATCGGAAATCAAATCGTTGTCGAGCGCCGTCTGTCTCACCTCAACGCGAACTCTCGCGAGATCTCAGAGATCGCGTGGGGAGGGGGGCGGGGGGAGAGAGGGGGGCGGGCCGGGGTGGCGGCGGGGAGGGTCATCGGAAATCAAATCGTTGTCGAGCGCCGTCTGTCTCGCCTCAACGCGAACTCTCGCGAGATCTCAGAGATCGCGTGGGGAGGGGGGCGGTGGGAGAGAGGGGGGCGGGGTGGCGGCGGGGGGGGTAATCGGAAATCAAATAGTTCATAGTTCATTTATTTGGTGTAGCCCTGTGAGCCATTCAGCTCTTGAATCGGGTGCAACCGCAACAAACAAAACATGAACAAGAAAACATCTTAAAGTGATTATGTGACTGTGCAAACATAAAATCCTGGAAAAAAAAATATCAAAATATTCCTGAAATAGCACCGTGCACCAACGCTGTGTGCAAAAAATCCCAGTGGGATGCAAGTCAAATAACAATAAAATCGTTGTCGAGCGCCGTCTGTCTCGCACGCCTCAACGTGAACGTGGCAGCAAGGAGACAACATTCACCCTCGAGACAACGGGGGTTTATCTGAACGCGGCTTCACTCTCTTGGCATCTCCGTTGCTTTCCCAGCCGCTATCTCCCAATAAGGACAACGAGAGGGCCTTGCCTCTCTCCGATGTGCAGATCGTCGGCCACGGTGGCGAGATGCGATATGCATCGCCAGAGACCCAGGTGCACGTGGGTCCGACTCCAATCCCGACCCTGACGCCTGTATATTGTGTGCACGTCTCTCTCACAGTTGTGGCCTGGCTTTCCTCCTCGGTCCCTCCGGCTTTTCCTCCACATCTAGAAACGTGCGTGCAGATCATTTGGCTGTTCTGCATTTCCACGTGACAAGTCACTTTGTAGAGCTATCATTTGTGGCCAGGTTGCTTCTAAAAAATAACTATTATATATATCTCAGTGGGCCTTAACTGGTAAAATAAAACATTGTTTAAGTTGCTGTCAAACCTAGTCGGGTATCCCCGTCCTTTGCCAATATCATGAGTAAGACCATGTGAGTCGAGACCATCTCCATAAAAGGCAAAGTTGTGAATATGTGTGTCTGTTCAAAATGTTTAGCGTACTTCCCGACATGCAACAAACTTGAAATTTGTCATGTGGGTTACTTCCAGACTGTACACCATGCAGAAATTATAAAAATACACTTTTGGGGGGGGGGGGGGGGGGGAAACTCAATAATGCATTTATTTTTTACACGGCAAGTGAATTGTGACGTCAAATCTGTCACGTGACTCGCGCACGTGTAAGCGTAACGCTTTGTAGTGTAGCGGTTAGCGCGCTGTGTATGTGTCTGTGTGTGTGTCTGTGTGTGTATGTGTGTGTATCTGTGTGTGTGTCTGTGTGTGTGTGAAAGCGTAACGCTTTGTAGTGTAGCGGTTAGCGCGCCGCGCTACGAACCCGGCGACCCGAGTTCGATTCCCGCTGCACGGCCACCACCGGTGACGATTATTTGAACCGGTCCTGGGCCTCCCTTAAGTCGACTCAGCCTCAAACAAGTGACTAGTGTGGTGTGTGAACATCGCCACTGGGGAGACAAAGGCGGCCGGGCGTGGTGAGTCCAACGCCCGTGTAGTAAAGCTAGTAAAATATAAAACCGTAACCCATTCACGACTTTCACGAACACTTTGGAACACTGTGACAACCTTTGTTGACACTTGGTAGCTTTGATCGTGTCATCGTTTCAGATACGTTTATTCGTGAATGTCATTGCAAAAGTGAATTTTATCATTGTAAACCTCACTGCGTGTTGTATAATCCCTTATTTTTGGTGGATGACCCTTGTCTGCTGCAGCCGCGTGGTGCGACATATATTCTGCAAGCGGTCTCGTCTCAGGCGTCGAAAAGCTGCCCGATGTCAAGTGGCCGATACCGCATGCATGTTTAATGAGAGTGGTTTGTAATTGCAGCTGAGTCCCTGTAACTCTTACTCTGAAGACCCATGCACTAATTGTAAAAAAGCCTCCGTGTAGCCTGCTGCGGCTGCTAAAACGCAGACGAGGAAGAACAATGACAACAGTACAATCAATATCTTTGGGGAATCTAGAACTGTGAATTATTTGCCGGTCGTGAGTCCATGAATTGTCTGGATTCAAGGATTTATGATTATTTTTTATATCCTGTTTTTGCTAAGTGCGGTGGAGTTAAACCTTTCAGGCATGGCAGCTTTTCAATAAAGACCACTGGACCCTGTGACCCCACTCTAGCCCCATCCAGTGGACGCGGTGTTGGCAAGGCACGTGTTTCATGTTGTGTATTCGCGTGGTTTGTGTTGGCAAGGCACGTGTTTCATGTTGTGTATTCGCGTGGTTTGTGTTGGCAAGGCACGTGTTTCATGTTGTGTATTCGCGTGGTTTGTGTTGGCAAGGCACGTGTTTCATATTGTGTATTCGCGTGGTTTGTGTTGGCAAGGCACGTGTTTCATGTTGTGTATTCGCGTGGTTTGTGTTGGCAAGGCACGTGTTTCATGTTGTGTATTCGCGTGGTTTTGTGTTGGCAAGGCACGTGTTTCATGTTGTGTATTCGCGTGGTTTGTGTTGGCAAGGCACGTGTTTCATGTTGTGTATTCGCGTGGTTTGTGTTGGCAAGGCACTTGTTTCATGTTGTGTATTCGCGTGGTTTGTGTTGGCAAGGCACGTGTTTCATGTTGTGTATTCGCGTGGTTTGTGTTGGCAAGGCACGTGTTTCATGTTGTGTATTCGCGTGGTTTGTGTTGGCAAGGCACGTGTTTCATGTTGTGTATTCGCGTGGTTTGTGTTGGCAAGGCACGTGTTTCATGTTGTGTATTCGCGTGGTTTGTGTTGGCAAGGCACGTGTTTTATCTTGTGTATTCGCGTGGTTTGTGTTGGCAAGGCACGTGTTTCATGTTGTGTATTCGTGTGGTTTGTGTTGGCAAGGCACGTGTTTCATGTTGTGTATTCGTGTGGTTTGTGTTGGCAAGGCACGTGTTTCATGTTGTGTATTCGTGTGGTTTGTGTTGGAAAGGCACGTGTTTCATGTTGTGTATTCGTGTGGTTTGTGTTGGCAAGGCACGTGTTTCATGTTGTGTATTCGCGTAGTTTGTGTTGGCAAGGCACGTGTTTTATGTTGTGTATTCGCGTGGTTTGTGTTGGAAAGGCACGTGTTTCATGTTGTGTATTCGTGTGGTTTGTGTTGGCAAGGCACGTGTTTCATGTTGTGTATTCGCGTGGTTTGTGTTGGCAAGGCACGTGTTTCATGTTGTGTATTCGCGTGGTTTGTGTTGGCAAGGTACGTGTATCATGTTGTGTATTCGTGTGGTTTGTGTTGGCAAGGCACGTGTTTTATGTTGTGTATTCCTGTGGTTTGTTTTGGCAAGGCACGTGTTTCATGTTGTGTATTCGTGTGGTTTGTGTTGGCAAGGCACGTGTTTCATGTTGTGTATTCGTGTGGTTTGTATTGGCAAGGCACGTGTTTCATGTTGTGTATTCGTGTGGTTTGTGTTGGCAAGGCAAGTGTTTCATATTGTGTATTCGTGTGGTTTGTGTTGGCAAGGCACGTGTTTCATGTTGTGTATTCGTGTGGTTTGTTGGCAAGGCACGTGTTTCATGTTGTGTACTCGTGTGGTTTGTGTTGGCAAGGCACGTGTTTCATGTTGTGTATTCGCGTGGTTTGTGTTGGCAAGGCACGTGTTTCATGTTGTGTATTCCTGTGGTTTGTGTTGGCAAGGCACGTGTTTCATGTTGTGTATTCGTGTGGTTTGTGTTGGCAAGGCACGTGTTTCATGTTGTGTATTCACGTGGTTTGTGTTGGCAAGGCACGTGTTTCATGTTGTGTATTCGCATGGTTTGTGTTGGCAAGGCACGTGTTTCATGTGGTGTTTTCGTGTGGTTTGTGTTGGCGAGGCACGTGTTTCATGTTGTGTATTCGCGTGGTTTGTGTTGGCAAGGCACGTGTTTCATGTTGTGTATTCGCGTGGTTTGTGTTGGCAAGGCACGTGTTTCATGTTGTGTTTTCGAGTGGTTTGTTGGCAAGGCATGTGTTTCATGTTGTTTATCCGTGTGGTGTGTGTGTGTCAGCAAGGCACGTGTTTCATGTTGTGTATTCGCGTGGTTTGTGTTGGAAAGGCACGTGTTTCATGTTGTGTATTCGTGTGATTTGTGTTGGCAAGGCACGTGTTTCATGTTGTGTATTCGCGTGGTTTGTGTTGGCAAGGCACGTGTTTCATGTTGTGTATTCGCGTGGTTTGTGTTGGCAAGGCACGTGTTTCATGTTGCGTATTCGTGTGGTTTGTGTTGGCAAGGCACGTGTTTCATGTTGTGTATTCGTGTGGTTTGTGTTGGCAAGGCACGTGTTTCATGTTGTGTATTCGTGTGGTTTGTGTTGGCAAGGCACGTGTTTCATGTTGTGTATTCGCGTAGTTTGTGTTGGCAAGGCACGTGTTTTATGTTGTGTATTCGCGTGGTTTGTGTTGGAAAGGCACGTGTTTCATGTTGTGTATTCGTGTGGTTTGTGTTGGCAAGGCACGTGTTTCATGTTGTGTATTCGCGTGGTTTGTGTTGGCAAGGCACGTGTTTCATGTTGTGTATTCGCGTGGTTTGTGTTGGCAAGGTACGTGTATCATGTTGTGTATTCGTGTGGTTTGTGTTGGCAAGGCACGTGTTTTATGTTGTGTATTCCTGTGGTTTGTTTTGGCAAGGCACGTGTTTCATGTTGTGTATTCGTGTGGTTTGTATTGGCAAGGCACGTGTTTCATGTTGTGTATTCGTGTGGTTTGTGTTGGCAAGGCAAGTGTTTCATATTGTGTATTCGTGTGGTTTGTGTTGGCAAGGCACGTGTTTCATGTTGTGTATTCGTGTGGTTTGTTGGCAAGGCACGTGTTTCATGTTGTGTACTCGTGTGGTTTGTGTTGGCAAGGCACGTGTTTCATGTTGTGTATTCGCGTGGTTTGTGTTGGCAAGGCACGTGTTTCATGTTGTGTATTCCTGTGGTTTGTGTTGGCAAGTCACGTGTTTCATGTTGTGTATTCGTGTGGTTTGTGTTGGCAAGGCACGTGTTTCGTGTTGTGTATTCGTGTGGTTTGTGTTGGCAAGGCACGTGTTTCATGTTGTGTATTCGCGTGGTTTGTGTTGGCAAGGCACGTGTTTCATGTTGTGTATTCCTGTGGTTTGTGTTGGCAAGGCACGTGTTTCATGTTGCGTATTCGCGTGCTTTGTGTTGGCAAGGCACGTGTTTCATGTTGTGTATTCGTGTGGTTTGTGTTGGCAAGGCACGTGTTTCATGTTGTGTATTCGCGTGGTTTGTGTTGGCAAGGCACGTGTTTCATGTTATGTATTCGTGTGGTTTGTGTTGGCAAGGCACGTGTTTCATGTTGTGTATTCGTGTGGTTTGTGTTGGCAAGGCACGTGTTTCATGTTGTGTATTCGTGTGGTTTATGTTGGCAAGGCATGTGTTTCATGTTGTGTATCCATGTGGTTTGTGTTGGCAAGGCACGTGTTTCATGTTGTGTATTAGCCAAGGCTGTATTAAGGTTCTAGTCGGCCCTAGGCACTTCTGTGTCGTAGGCCTTCAGTGATGACTTTCTACAGTTGGTACTGCTGCTGCTGCTGCCCCATGTTAATACCGCTGCCGTCACTTGCCTGACTGCAAAAACACGCAATTTCAAGCTGTTATTGCTAAGTTTGCAATGAAAAAAGATCCAGAAAATTTCAGCTCCGGTGTTAAATTTTCTCTAAACTTATTAACAAAAACGATTGACATGGGTCTGCCTCTTTATTTATACACTGTGCCTATCCTTGTTATACATTTCTTCAAGAAACAAGGACAGAAACATCGTGAAAATTTAGTTTCCGTACGCCCTAGGCACAGTGCCGACTGTGCCTAATGGGATAATAAGGCCCTCTTGCCAACTCCGATAATACAATCGAGAGGTCCTTGAGTCGAATCCCTCGCCTCGCGAAAGCCACAATCCCAAACCACCTCGCTGTTAAAAATCACCCTCCCCCCGGGGTCGGAGATTTAAAAAAAAAATCCGTCCCAAAATATTTCCTCCCCAACAAAATTCCCAAAAGAATTCCCTAACCGCCCCCCCACCTCCCCCCACAAAACAACATCCACCCCCTGTCCGTGGAACTTCACTTCTGGGAAGGAGCGTGACGACACTATGGGAAACGTCGTGAGCATGCAAAACATTCTCAACGCACGGGGGCGGTAAGGATGAACGCATTGAGTCCCAGTGCACTGCTGTGATTGCTGCATTTTCCCTCTCGGTTGTCCTCCGCACGAAGTTGTGGTGCCAGTTCTTTAGAACTGAAAACTAATTTATTTAGAACAGTTTTTTTTTTACGTGTGTTTAGTTTGTTGTCCTTTCCCCCGGCACCTCCCGATTAGCACGATTGGCTACGCACGGTGCGAACGAGGTTCAGCGTACACGCGCACTTAACTGTCTAAACTTTGCTGAAAGCCATGTCCAGCCTTGCGAGCACGGCGCTCTGCAGCAGCACCCCGTGGCTGCTGCTTCTGCTGCTGCTCCTGTTGCCTGCAATTGCGCCAGGTGAGTGAGGACCGCGGTGGCACATGGGGAGATGAACACCAGCCCAGGGAGTTGAACACCAGCCCGGGGAGATGAACACCAGCCGGGGGAGTTGAACACCAGCCGGGGGAGTTGAACACCAGCCCAGGGAGTTGAACACCAGCCCGGGGAGATGAACACCAGCCCGGGGAGTGAGGTAGGAGTCTGCGTTCAACTCTAGAGACTTCCCCAGGGGCTACACCACCATATCCTGTCCGGGTGTTCCTTGCACTTGAAATAATTTTATGCAAGAGGTGGCCACAGCGCGAGGCTTATTTTCTTACAAGTAGTTTGCATCGATGAATAATTTTATTTCTCTATATATTTTATTTCTTCACAAGTTGTACGCGTTCTTATTAAGCTCGCTTAATTAGTACATTGCTACGTCGGTGTTGTTGTAATTAAACTTGTTTCGTCGTGAAGAAGTGAAGTTTATTTTGTTTGCTTTGTTGCTTTGCTTTTTGAATGCCTCTCGCCCTCTGTTGTCTCCACAACCCTCCAATGCGTCCCCGACTCTCGCTTGCATTCCCCTCCCTCATCCTCCTCCTCCAGCCGTTGACTACACAGTTGATCATTGTCGATTCATTATCCGGCTGTTTCCAACATCCGGCGGTCACGGGCCGATCCGTCGAAAGCAGCAAAACCAAAGGCTCTTAAATCAGTCTGGCGATGGGCACACACCGCCGAGAAAGCCGCTATGCTTTGCCGTTTGAACGCCTCTTTCCCCCCTTTGTCCTCAAAACCCCCTAATCGAGCGGATCTTACCCTGGGGGTACAGGCTGCCCCCCCCCTGGGGGTGCGAGATGCCCTTTGTGGGGGTGCGAGACATGGGCAGATTTTTTGTAGAAGGTAAATAATCGAAACACAAATTAAAGTACGGGCACGCAAGTTACAGCTTACTCTGTCTCACTAAACCCCATGTATTTAATAACATTGTTTAAAAACATGTTTGAGATTGAGAACCAAATGGGTGGAAGGCTGCAGTCAAGGTTAAGAACCACTGCTCGAATGCGTCCGAGATTTTAGGGACCACCTCTCTCTCTCTCCCTCTCATCCTCCTCAGCCGAGGGACCACACACTTCCCGCAAAACACGTTCGCTCATCCCAAAGCCAATTCGCTGCCCGTGTCGGGTCACGATGGGGGTCCCCCCCCCCCCATCGGCCAAGACTCAATCCGCCAAAACGGGGTGGCCGACGATCAAGGCTCACCACGCCGGGGATTGAGCGCAAGACGCCTCGGACGTTCCTCCTCCTCGGAGGAGGAACGTTGGACGCTTCGCGTGGCTTCATTGCAAGGCCCCGCGGGGCCAACTGCCGGCCTCTGGTGGCCTCTAATGCGGCCCCTCACGTGCCCCCCCCCTCCCTGATAATTCATAAACAGTGAAAACAATCCCCCGCATCATCATCATCATTGTCGTCGTGCTGCTGTCCCAAACCCAACAATGGTTTCAAATGTGTGGCGGCCTCTGATATCTTATCGGCGAAAAGTGGGCGTAGGTCAACTGAGTCTCCGTGGAAAAAATAATTCGATTCTTAGCTTCTCGTTTGTGATGGGACGTTGTAGGATGCACGTTGAGATGTATAGGGGGCACGGGGTGACCAATAAGGTGTGAACTGGTCTGTAACAAGGTAGGGCACTGAGAGGGGTTGACAGCTTTGTGAATCTCACCCAGGGGTGGGTCAACGTCGCGGCACTGGAGTTGCATGCTGCTTTTTGGCTTCCCCCTTGCAGAGAGCCGTTACAAATAAAACCCGTGAATCCTAAACATTATTGAACGTAAAGAAAATGTATTAAATGTGGCGTGGAATGGGTGACTATGGAATGTCTTGGTGACAACAAAATGTACAACAGTCGAACTGTATTGTTGAAGAATAACTAAAGGGGGCGGGAATCTAAATACGACGCAGTTTATTCCATCACCTATTTTGTTTAAGTCAGATTGTGTGTTGTGTTGTCGTCTGCCGTATACCCGCTGCTGTGTTTGTGTACAAGTAGCTGGGCTTGTGTTGCGGCTGTCTGAACTTGTTTGGTCAAAGACAAAAAACAAACAACAATGGCTCCTACTCTTCTTCTTTGAAATGCTGCCCAACCACGTGATGGGACCAAACTCTCCATTGCTGCCCAACCACGTGATGGGACCCAACTCCCCAATGCTGCCCAACCACGTGATGGGACCCAACTCCCCAATGCTGCCTAACCACGTGATGGGACCCAACTCCTCAATGCTGCCCAACCACGTGACGGGACAAAACTCTCCATTGCTGCCTAACCACGTGATGGGACCCAACTCCTCAATGCTGCCTAACCACGTGATGGGACCCAACTCCCCAATGCTGCCTAACCACGTGATGGGACCCAACTCCCCAATGCTGCCTAACCACGTGATGTGACCCAACTCCCCAATGCTGCCTAACCACGTGATGGGACCCAACTCCCCAATGCTGCCTAACCACGTGATGGGACCCAACTCCCCAATGCTGCCTAACCACGTGATGGGACCCAACTCCTCAATGCTGCCCAACCACGTGACGGGACCCAACTCCCCAATGCTGCCCAACCACGTGATGGGACCCAACTCCCCCATGCTGCCTAACCACATGATGGGACCCAACTCCCCATTGCTGCCTAACCACGTGATGGGACCCAACTCCCCAATGCTGCCTAACCACATGATGGGACCCAACTCCCCATTGCTGCCTAACCACGTGATGGGACCCAACTCTCCAATGCTGCCCAACCACGTGATGGGACCCAACTCCCCCATGCTGCCTAACCACGTGATGGGACCCAACTCCCCAATGCTGCCTAACCACGTGATGGGACACAACTCCACATTGCTGCCTAACCACGTGATGGGACCCAACTCCCCATTGCTGCCTAACCACGTGATGGGACCCAACTCCCCAATGCTGCCTAACCACATGATGGGACCCAACTCCCCATTGCTGCCTAACCACGTGATGGGACCCAACTCTCCAATGCTGCCTAACCACGTGATGGGACCCAACTCTCCAATGCTGCCCAACCACGTGATGGGACCCAACTCCCCCATGCTGCCTAACCACGTGATGGGACCCAACTCCCCAATGCTGCCTAACCACGTGATGGGACACAACTCCACATTGCTGCCTAACCACGTGATGGGACCCAACTCTCCAATGCTGCCTAACCACGTGATGGGACCCAACTCTCCAATGCTGCCCAACCACGTGATGGGACCTAACTCCCCATTGCTGCCTAACCACGTGATGGGACCCAACTCCCCAATGCTGCCCAACCAGCTGATGGAACCCAACTCTCCAATGCTGCCTAACCATGTGACGGGACCCAACTCTCCAATGCTGCCCAACCACGTGATGGGACCTAACTCCCCATTGCTGCCTAACCACGTGATGGGACCCAACTCCCCCATGCTGCCTAACCACGTGACGGGACCCAACTCTCCAATGCTGCCTAACCACGTGATGCAAACCAACTCCCCAATGCTGCCTAACCACGTGATGGGACCCAACTCCCCAATGCTGCCCAACCAGCTGATGGAACCCAACTCTCCAATGCTGCCCAACCACGTGATGCAAACCAACTCCCCAATGCTGCCTAACCACGTGATGGGACCCAACTCCCCAATGCTGCCCAACCAGCTGATGGAACCCAACTCTCCAATGCTGCCTAACCACGTGACGGGACCCAACTCTCCAATGCTGCCCAACCACGTGATGGGACCTAACTCCCCATTCCTGCCTAACCACGTGATGGGACCCAACTCCCCCATGCTGCCTAACCACGTGACGGGACCCAACTCTCCAATGCTGCCTAACCACGTGATGCAAACCAACTCCCCAATGCTGCCTAACCACGTGATGGGACCCAACTCCCCAATGCTGCCCAACCAGCTGATGGAACCCAACTCTCCAATGCTGCCCAACCACGTGATGGAACCCAACTCCCCCATGCTGCCCAACCACGTGATGGAACCCAACTCTCCAATGCTCCCCAACCAGCTGCTGGGATTGCTATCTCGCTCCAAAGTCCCCTCTGCCGTCGCTTCTCGTGCAAACAGCCGCTGCTGCGATACCTCTCCTCACTCAGAGAGACCTCAGTGTGTTCTTGCCGCCCCGTCACCAAACGTCACGAGGCCTGACAGTTTGTTTAACAAAGGAGAAACACGTGGTGTTTTTGTGTTCCCTTCGTTTGATACCAACGCAACACGTGTGCGGTGTTTTGTTTCACAGCGTTTGCTCAAGTACCCAGCAGCAACTACACATGCGCCTTGGACATACGGTTCGCCGAACACCAAGTCTTCAAGGCAACGGTAAGCATCGATCGATGTTTATTTTACGTGTCAGTATCGTCCCTCAATAAAGTGGGCATCGGTGCACATCACAACGGAACGGGAGTGGTCCAGGGCTGGGGGGGTGCTAGAGCGACAGGGATGATAGCAGCGAGCCGTCACGAACGTCGGCCACTAACGCCGACTGAGCACTAACTTCGCTGTCTCGTGCACCGAACAGCATGAGACGTTGTGACTAAAATAAGAACAGGTTTTGCCCTTACCTGGCAATGGAACAGGAGTTGTGTTAAGATGTTCAAACAACAGATAGAAACCTTCTGCAATGAATCAAGTTCGCACTAAGCTCACGCAGTGCTTGTGGTGAACATGCAAACAAACACGCTCTGATTATTACACCTCCTATATTCACCCAGGAATGTCCTTAACGCTCGTGACGTCACTCCACGTCGACCAGCCCCCGCATTAATTATCATGAACAGGTTACGTCCTCCACATCGAACAACCCCCCCCCCTCATTAATAATCATGAGCAGGGCACGTCACTCCACATCGAACAACCCCCCGTCATTAATCATAAACAGGTAACGTCCGTCAAATGCTCCCCCCCCCCGCCATTAATATTAATTAGCGGCTGACGTCAATCCACATGGGGGGGGCGAGGCGCCTCCTCCCCCCTCCTCACTACAAAGGCAGAACCCTCACGTCACGTGATCTCCGTGACGCTGTTGTTGAGACATCGAAGTAAAAGGGACGTCGTGATGAACAAGGGGTTATAACATATTCTTAGTTTTTTCGGTAAAGTCACGTTGAAGAGAAACAACAAAATAACATATATATATATTTTGTTATTTTGTTGTTTCTCTTCAACGTGACTTTACCGAAAAAACTAAGAATATGAATTACTGCAGTCACGAAAGCTTTAAATCAAAATTAAAGGGGTTATAACCTTTAACTGAAATAGGTCTGTGTCACCGCGGCCTTACAAATTGCACACGAATTGATGCAATGAATATCACGTCGCGGTCTGCTTTTCGCTTGCAAGTTTAAGATTTACTGCAATACACCTGTAATATAATAATATTAATATAATTATAATATTAATATAATTATAATCTGTGCATTGTCGATCAAACTGATTGGCCTACACCAGAGAGAGCAGCAGCCATCTTAATGGCCTAGTCTCACCACCAGTGTGACACCAGGTAACCTCAAAAGACAATTCATGTAACATTATAGTTACATTACTGTTTTAGACAATGCATATATTATCAGATGATGTTTTGTTTGCATGTTCACCACAAATGCGGAGAGCAAGTAAGATCTCTCGATCAACTCTACACAACGGATAATTTTACATTTAAAATTCAATGTAATCTCAGTAGTGCCCTCTCAAAATGTACAAATGCGCGTCTGTAAAAGTAGTCAACTGTGTGTCTGTATGTCTACTTCTTTCAGATTGGCATCCCTGTGAATCCATCAATCCTTTGTCGTGGAAGTCAAATAACACAAATTATCAAGGATGTTCAGATGACTTGTAACCCTGGTGCTGCAGATGGAAACTCAATCATTAAAATGGAACAAAATCCAGAGAGCCTGGACTCTTTAAGATATAAATTGGATTGTGGCAAACGATTAGAAGATTCTGAACTGAATCATGCAGATATGTTTGGTAAGTCAATTTACATGGCATTTTAAGTTCACAAGAATTGTCAATTGTTACTTGCACTTTTTGTCATTGGCACCAATTCAAAAGCCAACACGTTAAAAGTACAGACCTTTAAAAGGGGTGGATTCTATACATTACTTTACGTATGTATATGTATATTGAACTTCCTTCGCACCGTACGTAGACATCCGTGCTCATCCGAGGTGCGGGGGAAGGACAACAAACTAAACACAAAAAGCAGTTCTAGTTGCAGTGCCTTCATAATATCGGAAAGAAGAGCGTTCCAGACGGCCGCAGAAGTGCATCTGAAAGTGCAGGATTCAATAGTCATCTTTGTTCGATGTTTAGCCAAAAGCTGCTGCAAGGATGACCGGAGTTTGCGTGATGGTTAATGAGCTCAGCAAGGTATTGCGGTTAATTTATGGCAAGCACTCTGTGTAATGAGTGTAACCTTAAAATGTTATTCGTTCAGCAATCGGAAACCAATGCAGCTCTCGGTGAGCACATGGTCGGATATTGCGGTACCTGTCACGACGTGTACAATTGCAGTGGTGGCTGTACAATCAGAACTACAAATGTAGCAGATAAACCTGCGTTTCAGCACCGCACCAACACTGATGCAAGTGATTACACCGTGTGTATGAAGTGTTGTTTAGTTTAAGGTTTCGGCCCAGTCACAAGCCTCACCGTGGTGAGATGTTAACTGTCTCGCCTGGTATGCAGGAGGTCGTTTGTTCGATTCCGACCCTGACGCCTGTTTATTTGGAGTTTGCATGTTCTCACCGAGGTCGCGTGGATTTTTTTCCGGGTCCTCCGGTTTTTCCTTCAATATTTAGAAACAAGCTTTCAGAGTATTTAGTTGATACATTTTTACGCGATAAGCCACTTCGTTGAGCTATCATTTGTGGCCAGATCGCTCATGAAAAATATCTATATAGCTCAGTGGGCCTTACCACTGCACAATTTAACCAAACAAAACTCAACACATTCATCAATGGCACTGTGGCCTTAACTAAAAGGAAAACATATATAACGGGCGATGTTTCAAGAAATGTACCATGAGGAAGGGCCATTGCTTGAAACGGTGTCTATTCTACATATTCCTTTTAAGGCCACACAGTGGCATTGTCAAATGTGTTGCGGGTTTGTTGTTGTTGTTGTTAAATGTAAGGATGTTCCGCAGATTTAAAAAAAATTGCAGCTTAATATGGATTGGGTACAAGATGCGGGGTAGTGACACACCATTAGCCTAGCGAAGATCTAACTGAACCCTTCAATCATTGTCTGCTGCATGGTATAAATTATGAAAAAAATATGATTTTTTTTTTACCAGGTAAGGCCCACTGAGCTATCTAGCTCTTTTTCAAGAGCGACCTGGCCACAAATGATAGCTGAACGAAGTGGATTAATCACGTGGACATTTTATAGCAGCCAAATTCTCTAAACGCACGTTTCTAAATGTGGAAGGAAAAACCGGGAGACTCGGAGAAAAATCCACGCGATCACGGGGAGAACATGCAAACTCCAAATATACAGCAGCAGGCGTCAGGGTCGGGATTGAACCCACGACCTCCTGTATAGCAGGCGAGGTAGCTGACATCTCGGCACCTTACCGCCTTAGAATCAGGGTCGGAATCATGCATGCATGCCGCACTCTCCTAAGAAGGCTGCGGGGGGGTTGGGCAACTGACGAGTCGAGTTGCGCTCGTCTCGCTGGGACCTCTCACGTGGCAAGTTCTGCTCGATTTGGTACTGGTTATCGATTTGGTACTGGTTATTGATTTGGTACTGGTTATCGATTTGGTACTGGTTATCGATTTGGTACTGGTTATCGGGTGCTGCAGTGCAAAAATGTCCTGCTATTATTTTTTTAAGGAACTTGTCAAAAATAATATGAAGGCAAAAAAACATGGAAGTTGCATTCAATGTGGTATTTTGCAATGTTTTAACATCGATTCTTTTTTAATCTCCAGTTCTCTCCACAACACCGCTGATGAGTAATCCACGCAATGTACACTGTGACTACCACTTGCACGTGTGTCACGGTGAAGAAAAAATGTCGTGGGATTTTCACGTGAGTACCGTACTGTATGAATGGCAATACATTTTCAATCAATGTATATCACTACCAAATGCCTCCCATCCTTCTTCAATCCACAACAATACCAAGACAAGATTCTAAACTATTACAACTGCAGCACTCGCTTTTTCAAGCTGATCAAAAAAAATCCACCGCTTAATCGTTCCTCCGCTGTCTATACGAGCAGTAGAAAGCTGTGGATGACTTTGAGACGGGAGAAGCGACGATTCAGCTGAAACGTGGCTGCTGGGTTTATGAACATATCAGTGGAATAGTTCTCCCAATTCATCCAAAACCTGGGGAAGAAAACATTCCCTCCGCGCGGTTGAATTCCCCACGGCGGAATGAGCTGCAATGTCTGCTGCTCGAGATAAGCCGACATTGCTTGGAAATCCATGTTCTGCATTTCTGCATGCAGAGACACGGGGGGAGGGGAGGTGCAGTCATTCCACACGATTTGCGGTGCAACCCCACACACCAAGACCTTCTAAGATAAATCTGTTGCCTGCTTTGAGCTCATAAAATATGGTCTGCTTTGGCAGAAATGCGCGGACAGATTGTACCCCGCTTGAACCCCATTGGCGCAGCTTCTGCATTGTGAATGCAGCTGCACTGAGATACACAGCCGCAGTATAACTACACACGGCGCTTTGGTGTCACCGCTGCACCGCCACTACTGCTTTAGGATTGGGTGCCATCCGTGGAGCGAAGAGTGAATAATTTAACATCATGAAATGGGCAAATATGTGCCCTCGTGGAAGTTCCCACAGTCTGAACGTTTTGTAGTGGAAACCTTTAATTCAAGGCCTCTGTTAACATGTAATGTTTTTTTTGTATTTTGGCCAGAACTTACATTTTAGGGGGGGAAACCCCACAATGGCATTACGCAGCCTGGCAGTTAATGGCAGCCACGTGGGATCTATGTAAGAAGTGGCTGGTGGGTGTTTACCCCACTGTGACCCCAACCGGAGGGCAGGGTTCTGTAATTAGACAATCGAGATCAGTGTACAAATTGCGACCTCAAATTGCTGCCGCGATGCTCACCGCTGCATTTGTGCACCTTTGCATTTCTCTTCACAAACGGAGTCTTTGAGTGTAATTCGTGAATGTTGGTGTTGGATGCTGAGTGTGCCGACACGCATTATAGTACAGGCTGTTTAAAAACAATCTAGATTAATTGTTGCAGTTGTACAGCAAGCATACTGTGTGATCTCAGTCGTGCTCACTCAAAAGGGTTCTGCACCTCCGATTAGCACGGTTGGCTACGTAAGAAGTTCAATATACATGCATACTTGTTTAAGGGTTGTGCACACTGGCTTTGTTGTTGCTATTTAATGTAAATATAAAAGTTAAATATTATTTTACGGATTCATTTGTGTTCCCGAAATGTTCATTTTAATCAGGAAAATCACTACTCAATGTCTATTTTGTCGCGCAGTGTTTATTTATTTATTATTAATCTTACCCTAATTGATTTTGTTTCATTATCAATGCATGAGGTTATCTGCATTCACAAAGTGGCAAATGCATTTTTATCATTGCACAATTGTGAGTAACGTTCCTAACATTTTATTTTGCAGGTTGCATTGCCAAGTTTTAAACTAAAACTATTGTGCAATACTATGTTACAACCATCCGTGAGCAGATATTGTGACAATAAAGAAAATCCAACCAAGCTAAACATGACTTACAAGAATCCAGATCTGTATTTTTGCGGATGGAATTTAGTGTGCCCAATGGGTATGGTATTAAAGCACATCTCCACCATTCCCACGATATCACACATCACACCAAACACACCCCTTTATCGGCTCCGTAGACTTGAGCAGCGAGCGAGCACCGTTAGCAAACAACTGCAGTAGTAAAACCAGCATTGCAGCGTGATACCACGATGTAGTCAGCGGTACGTCCCACCGGCCATCTGTGTCTCCCCCATTCACAACGTGGGTGCAGTCAAGAAGTCTCAAAGCCAGACGAAACAGGGCGGAGGGGAGAGCATTTTCAGTATTGCAGGTGTCCAGCATTCGATAAATAATGAAGCAACACATTTAAAGTTATGTGCACGTGTAAGTACGTTCTGTGTTGTCGTCTAATGGGGGCACAAAGAGAGGGAGTGAAGGGAGTGGACCAAACTGTAGCAGAGTGGCGAAGGTTTTCCAGAAACATAATCAATTCATGTCATGTCATTTAGCTATACGATATTGTGCTTAATATTCTGGTGTGGTGCTATACCTGAAGGCAGATTGAGCATCACGCAAACCAATGGCAGCCAAAACAGGGCAGCAGGACCCTGGGTAAGTTTCTGAATACTGAAGGCAGATAAGCCCCTCGGAGACTAATGGTACCCACAGCATCATCGTGAGATACTGGGTAACCTTTGTATTACTAAAGGCAGATGAGCCTCAAGTAGACCAATGGCGTCTATAAACACTGGGCTCGCAGCTCTGTGTGTGGAGGCACGGATACGTACAGGCAGTCATCGAATTACGAACGTCCAACTTAAGAACATCCGCACTTACGAACGAGCTTTCGTTAGATTTTTTGTTTTTACCATCAACTTGCGAACGCAAACTCACTCACACTTGTGAACCGAACAGCGGAACTATTTTGTTCAGCAGAACGATTCTCTGTGAGACGTAATGTGTGTGTGTGAAAGTGAGTATGCGTGTGAAAGTGAGTGTGTGTGAAAGTGTGTGTGTGAAGGTGTGCGTGTGTGAAGGTGTGCGTGTGAAAGTGAGTATGCGTGTGAAAGTGAGTGTGTGTGAAAGTGTGTGTGTGTGAAGGTGTGCGTGTGAAAGTGAGTATGTGTGTGAAAGTGTGTGTGTGAAAGTGAGTGTGTGTGTGTGAAAGTGTGTGTATGAAAGTGAGTGTGTGTGAGTAAAAGTGCGTGTGAAAGTGTGTGTGAAAGTGAGTGTGTATGTGCGGGTAGCGGTAGTGCAACGATTAGCGCGCTGCGCTACCAAACTGGTGACCCGAGTTCAATACCCACTCACGATCAACCCCAGTGACTATTATTTGAATGAGTCCTGGGCCTCCCCTAGGTCGACTCAGCCTCAAATGAGTACTATCTGGTGCGATGTGTAAACATCGCCTTTGGTGAGGCAAAGGCGGCCGGGCGTGGTTTTGGCCACCCACCCCCTCGTGTGCCGTGCCGGCCTTCATAGGTGCTCGATAACAGCACTTGCCCCGACAGCCTGTTAAGGCTACACGGGAGATCTTTGTCGTTGGTGTGTGTGTGCGTGCGTGCTTCTGTGTGTGTGTGTGCAGATGTGGCGGGACCTGATCCCACCCCTTCCAACAAAAAAAACAGCGGTTGCGGTAAGAGAAAATAAAACCGATTCATAGTAGAGCTATTTTTGGGTTAGATCGCATAAATATAAGTGTGTCGTTAAACCCGCCACCACCCGACACAGCCAATTAGTAAGGTTTGTCACGTAAACCGAACATGCCAATTCGTTATTGGTACAGCACACTGGTGTGTTGGAGAGCAAATCCACAACATTTACTATGCGAGTAATGTGACGTTACGCCAGTCATTACAACTCGCATCATCAGGCGACAGCCAGATTTGTAGAGAATCCTTCTCAGGGTCGAAAGTTACCTTGCAGTAAAAAACCTCGAAGCAGTGCCCTGGAGGTTCTTGATACATACTTACAGATTAAGGTCTCTCTATAGATTCCATATTTATCACAGTATTCCATGCAAATGTGCACTACTTTTTATTCATGACTTTAGCAATGCTTCCATTTTTTGTTAAGCCGTGACACATTAATATATCACCGACCATAGGAACATTTAATGACAGTACATTGTTGTGTTCCGAATTTCGAACCGTTCAACTGATGAATGAGTCTCAGGAACGGAACCCCTTTGTAAGTCAGGGACTGCCAGTACCATTCTTCTGATGCTGTAAAGGGCCAAGGACGATATTTTGGGGCTGTCAAGCCAACTTGCCAATTGTCATTAAAGTATCAACTCTTGGCCAAGGTAGGCCTCCGCAGGAGGCATTTGATATCAGTATTTGCACTCTCAATGTACTATGCAAACCATATATGTTTCTCAATTACGGATGTGTAGTTGTAGGCACTGAAATGGCATGCGGTGCTCTTAAACTCCACCCTGGCTGCATTGCTCCATTCATCATCTTCCTCTACATTCTAGTCCAGTCGGGTTAACTGGCTGCAGCAACATCTGCATTACAAGGTCAGCAAAGATTACCTACTGTGCTGCTCGGTATGTGTGTCCATAAATGTGTCTTGATGTGCATTTCCAAGTGTCCAGATTACATTTTTATATACTCTGAGAAGACGAAACAACATTTCAATGTACAATTGTAATCCTACGTCACAGAGGTCCAATAACAGAATGTTCCAAATTTAATACATTCTTTGACTCTTTTGACCCACCACTATTAATTTGAAAAGTTAACAAACTCACGATCATACAAACCATATCACAATATAATTATGTATTCCGTGTGCATAAAGGCAGAGTGTGGATGTCAATAATTGATGGCAGTGTGAAATGTAAAGTTCAGATGACGTTATGGGTGGGATGACAGCTAAGCATGGTGCACGGACTGATACATCCAAGGTGGCAGCTACAACATAACGGGTACGGAGGATTAAAACTGGTGCCTCAATTTGAGACCGACAATTCATGAGCTTAGGGTGGTGTTTATCAAACCTTATCGGCCCGTGGACCACTCAGCACCACCCAGCCCCACCACACGGGATGACGAAACACATTCACTTCTCTCTCTAAATACCAGTCATAAAAAATCATTCACATTACTGGAACATAAAAAAAATGTAACGCAGTTATAATTCGATTTTTATAGTGGGGGGCATTTCGATATTAGGGTTAGGGTAGTTTAATCAGGGTAGTTTACGTAACTTCATTTTTGTGGGTTTAACGGTGATCTGAAACAAATCGACTTGGCTACTCCTGAAGCAGTCGAATGGATATAAATATTTAATGAATATAAAATGTCGACACCAATTTGTAATCTGTTGCAATCTCCAACAATGCCATACGAAAGAAGAAGAAGAAGTGGGTATAACAGAAAAGCTGGTCACCCCACCCTTTACCGAGTAGCTCATGCCTGAGCACGATCTGTTACGAGTCTTGGGATGCTTTCAGATGAGGTCATGCTTAGCGTTATACCTCACCACGCTGGTCAATGTGCCTGAGGTCAAAGGCCAGCGACCCTTGACCCCAACTCAATTACGACGAGACACAAAGCCAGTCCTCGAAAGGACGGATTAAAATGGAAACGACATACGCCTGCCTACCGACTACGAGACAAGGAACTGCGAATCATAAGAGGTCAACATCCGTAGCCTGAGATCCAACATCAGAGAACTCGCTTACTTGTGCAAGGATAAATAACCCACAATTGTCATCGTGGTGGAAATATTCCTGGACCCAACGGTTCAAGACGGAGTGGACTGGATTGCAATAACCAGTTACACCACGTGCTGCTGAAGAGATAGAGCTGCCTCAACTGGAGGGGGCATCGCAGTGTACTGCCTACAAGGAGTTGCCATCCATCATGACTACCAATGAGATCCAACAGACATGGAACTTATGTGACTCACAGTGACTCTACGTTCCCAGAAGCTACTCATAGGAGCTGTATACAGACCACCCAGTGAAAACAATGACACATTTGACGACCTGAACACTGAAACCCTGTCAAAAATAACAGAGTTTGATGCATATTCCATCATGCTGGTGTGAGACCTCAATGTCCATCATGAAGACTGGCTAGGTAACCAAACAACAGACTCAGCTGGCCACCGAGCTCCTGCAGGCAGGACCGGATTAAGATGTTGTAGGCCCCTGGGCTACAGGTCCTGTGAGGCCTCCAGTAATATTTTCAAAAGGAAAACAAAGCTACAGAAAAATTAAATTTATTTTTACAAGGCTAACAACAAATAAAATTCAGCATTCACGAGTGAATTAACTTTTCACTTAATCTCTGGAGGCCCTCCAGCTGGCGGAGGCCCCTGGGCTGCAGCCCCTAAAGCCCCGTGCCTTAATCCGGCCCTGAGTGCCGAGTGATTGAGGGAGACCGAGGATGAGCGTAGAGAGAGATACGATTGGAGCCAGGATAAAGCAGTGCCGGAAATGGCGAGATGAGAGAGAGTCGAGGGAAGAGTGGGACGATCGACAGTTCACAAAGCCGAGGTCGAGGAGAACGGGGACTGGGCAGAGACGTGAGTGGGCCGAGTTGGTGGGGGGGGGGGGGGGGGTCTGGATGGTAACGAGGGCGCTTTCTGTGGAGTGGAACGGGGGGGTAGAGGGAGTGGGTGCAGATGGAGTTGTTGAGGCGGGAGGGGACGAGACGCTCGAGAACTTTGGAGAGGGAGGGAAGTAGGCAAATGGGTCGATAGTTGGAGATGTGGTTGGCATCCAGGGAGGGATTATTAGCGAGAAGGGTGATGATGGCCAAATTTCAAGGCACCGGAGGATAGAGAAGAATTGAGAGAAGGACGGAGGGAAGAAGGGAAGCAGGGATAGGGTCAAGGGGTCAGGTGGTGAGATGGACTTTGGAGATGGTAACTGAGAAGTTCCTCCACACTCACGTGGGGAAGTCGCTGAGGGCAGGCGGAGTGGGGAGCTGGTGGGGGACTGAGGGACGGAAGGGGCTGGGTAGGGGATGGGGAAACAGGGAAAGAGGAACGAATGGCATTCGTTTTGGAAGTGAAGAAGAGGGCAAAGTGAGCATGGGATGAAGCAGAAGTGTTCTGTGAGACTTTTGCACATAAATTCCGTCTCCAAGATGCACAAGATCCGGCCCCGTACATCGAGCCAACCACTATCTGCTCAATTGAGAACATCACCTTCAAGCCCAAAGACATCAATAGGCTGCTGAAGCGACTTTGAAGAGAGATATAACGTTGAGCTGTGAGGTATTGAATGTAATGGGATGCGTGTTCTATTTTGCAGGGAATGATGGAACGGACGCACGAGTTGAAAATGGCCTTGGTTTATACAGTATTGAAGTAAACACACACACACTATAGTTATGCAGCACACAGGTCGGTTATGCACAGTCACCACATGACCACCACACACATATTAGTATTTTGCTATCTAGAATTTGTTTATTTTTATACCTCCGTTGTACCGCAGTGTACCGGAGCATTAAAGTTGCCTCACGGGCCAATGCGTGGCCTTCATCGCCTTGTAGTCCACACTCTGCCAGCCCCTCGCTCTCTGTCGCCTGTCCCGCGGTGTCACAGCGGATCCCAGACTCCTCCTCTCCCCTACTCGCTGCACCACGAACACTCTACACGCTGCACCATGAACACTCTACACTCTGCAACACGAACACTCTACACGCTGCACCATGAACACTCTACACGCTGCACCATGAACACTCTACACGCTGCACCACGAACACTCTACACGCTGCACCATGAACACTCTACACGCTGCACCATGAACACTCTACACGCTGCACCACAAACACTCTACATGCTGCACCATGAACATCCTACACGCTGCACCATGAACACTCTACACACTGCACCATGAACACTCTACACGCTGCACCATGAACACTCTACACGCTGCACCATGAACACTCTACATGCTGCACCATGAACACTCTACACGCTGCACCATGAACACTCTACATGCTGCACCATGAACACTCTACACGCTGCACCATGAACACTCTACACGCTGCACCATGAACACTCTACACGCTGTACCATGAACACTCTACACGCTGCACCATGAACACTCTACACGCTGCACCATGAACACTCTACACGCTGCACCATGAACACTCTACATGCTGCACCATGAACACTCTACACGCTGTACCATGAACACTCTACACGCTGCACCATGAACACTCTACACGCTGCACCATGAACACTCTACACGCTGCACCATGAACACTCTACACGCTGCACTACGAACACTCTGCACGCTGCACCATGAACACTCTACACGCTGCACCATGAACACTCTGCACGCTGCACCATGAACACTCTACACGCTGCACTATGACCACTCTGCACGCTGCACTGCGAACACTCTACACACTGCACCACGAACACTCTACACACTGCACTACGAACACTCTACATGCTGCACTACGAACACTCTGCACGCTGCACCACGAACACTCTACACGCTGCACCATGAACACTCTACTCGCTGCACCATGAACACTCTACACGCTGCACCACGAACACTCTACACGCTGCACCATGAACACTCTGCACACTGCACCACGAACACTCTACACACTGCACCATGAACACTCTACACGCTGCACCACGAACACTCTACACACTGCACCATGAACACTCTACACGCTGCACCACGAACACTCTACACACTGCACCATGAACACTCTACACACTGCACCATGAACACTCTACACACTGCACCACGAACACTCTACACGCTGCACCATGAACACTCTACACACTGCACCATGAACACTCTACACACTGCACCATGAACACTCTACACACTGCACCACGAACACTCTACACGCTGCACCATGAACACTCTACACGCTGCACCACGAACACTCTACACGCTGCACCACGAACACTCTACACACTGCACCATGAACACTCTACACGCTGCACCACGAACACTCTACACACTGCACCATGAACACTCTACACACCGCACCATGAACACTCTACACACTGCACCACGAACACTCTACACGCTGCACCATGAACACTCTACACGCTGCACCATGAACACTCTACACACTGCACCATGAACACTCTACACACTGCACCACGAACACTCTACACGCTGCACCATGAACACTCTACACGCTGCACCACGAACACTCTACACGCTGCACCACGAACACTCTACACACTGCACCATGAACACTCTACACACTGCACCATGAACACTCTACACACTGCACCACGAACACTCTACACGCTGCACCATGAACACTCTACACGCTGCACCATGAACACTCTACACACTGCACCATGAACACTCTACACACTGCACCACGAACACTCTACATGCTGCACCATGAACACTCTACATGCTGCACCACGAACACTCTACACGCTGCACCACGAACACTCTACACGCTGCACCATGAACACTCTACACGCTGCACCACGAACACTCTACACACTGCACCATGAACACTCTACACGCTGCACCACGAACACTCTACACGCTGCACCATGAACACTCTACACGCTGCACCATGAACACTCTACACGCTGCACCACGAACACTCTACACGCTGCACCATGAACACTCTACACGCTGCACCATGAACACTACACACTGCACCACGAACACTCTACACGCTGCACCACGAACACTACACACTGCACCATGAACACTCTACACGCTGCACCACGAACACTCTACACACTGCACCATGAACACTCTACACGCTGCACCATGAACACTCTACACGCTGCACCATGAACACTCTACACGCTGCACCATGAACACTCTACACGTTGCACCACGAACACTCTACTCGCTGCACATGTTCTTTTTTACACTGCAATGGTTTTGTCACCTGATACTGCTGCCGAAATGCTGGGACCTCATTGAGCCATCGTATGCACCTACCACAATCCTGTTTGTGGCTTTAATACTATCTCACATTGCCAACCGACACGATTGCAAATGTGTACCCACATCATCGGTATCAAAGTTACATGAATCCGTCTGAATTATATTATATCCCCATAAAGCTTAACATTTTCTATCTTTTGTTATTTAATCTACTTGAGTGTTGTGTTCACCTATGCCTATCACTGATATTGAATTTTGTTTGTAATAAAAACCAACGTATCCAATATCTTACAGGAGTTGCTTAAAGTCTGTGTGTTGATGAGTGAGGTCGTCTGAACGACGTTGTCGATATTCGTGTAAACGTCGATCTCGTTCCACTCTGCACGTGGCCGATGATTGTTTAACACGTCCCACGTGACGCGCCGAGCAAACTACGCTGTCCGCGTCACGTGGGACCACGTGAAGACACACACACGCACACACCAAGATCTCGTTCCTAATTTGAATGGGCGCTGTTAGCACAGACGGCACGTCACGTGAGACTGCGTAACAAACATCGGGCGCGTGCAGCGTGGAACGAGTTGATTGAGAGGAGCAAATCGGTTAGCGTGGAGTTTGGGAAACTCTGCACTCGAGGCTGCAAACCCCGAACTCGAATACTGGCGGCGATTCATCGATGGAGTTGTCTAACAAAGAGTACAGGGTATTTGATAAAAGATGGACCCGATTTGAAATCGCTTTATCTCTGCAACCACGAACCGCCCATGAATGAAACTCTTACTACTTGAAAGGGCGGGGCATAGAGTGGGCGGGGCATAGTGAGGGCGGGGCATAGAGAGGGCGGGGCATAGAGTTTCTAATGATTACCGCTAGATGCCTCTCCCAGCGCACAAACAGCCGCTAGCCTCAGTCATTCGCGAGACGGTGACCCCTGCAACACAAGGGGCGTTTTGCGTTCTGCAGTTCAGCAAGACTGAATCCGTAATTGCGGTGCGGCGTGCGTTTCAATGGCGTTTTGGCAATGATCCGCCAATGTCAAAGAGCATTCGTCGTTGGTACCGACAATTTGAGGACACGGGCTGCTGTTTATGTAAGGGGAAGAGCACAGGGCGACCACGCACCTCGGAGGGAAACGTGAGAAGAGAGGCGTTTGGGACGAATTCAACTCTCGTCTCGATGTTGTCCGTACAGCAGGTGGAGGGCACATAGAGCATTGATACAATGGTTAGTAAAACTTGACAACTCATTAAACCGTTTGTAACTTTTTGTGTAATTGTAAAATGTTGCCATCGTGAAATATACTGCTTTGAAATTGGGTCCATCTTTTTCAAACACCCTGTATGTCCACCCGAGCAGGCCACGTCTTCACGACCTCTCACCACGACGACTAAACACAACTTCGCAGCCACTCCCGCCTGCCTATTGACACGCGCACTTGAATTCCAGGACCGTGCACTCAAGAGAGCATCGTTGTCGTGCCTCCCAATTAGCACGGTTGGCTACGTACGGTGGGAAAGAAGTTCAACGTAAATACGAATGGGCCATTGCAGAAGCGAGTTGAGAACGAGTTTGGGAGACTCGCTGCGCCAGCTTATCCAGCCAGCGTCGATAGTTACATTGACTCAGATTATTTAATTCATTCTCTCGAATTTTCTAACTCGCCTGGTACAATTGAAACGTCGTGACGTGGGTTACACCAGCCAGGAGCTTCCGTGCCACCGTAGAGTTGGCTGCGATTTTATTTTTTTATGGCACCATACGATTACAATGTGTCCGATGCGTGTCCCCGTGTCTCCACGCGTACTCTGGTGCCTATGTGTCCCCGTGTCTTCACATATCTGTGTATCTGCGTGTCCCCGTGTCTCCACATGTCTCTGTGTGCCTGTGTGTCCCCGTGTCTCCACGCGTCTCGGTGTGTCTGTGTGTCCCCGTGCCTCCACGTGTCTCGGTGTGTCTGTGTGTCCCCGTGCCTCCACGTGTCTCGGTGTGTCTGTGTGTCCCCGTGTCTCCACGCGTCTCGGTGTGTCTGTGTGTCCCCGTGTCTCCACGCGTACTCTGTGTGCCTGCGTGTCCCCGTGTCTTCACATGTCTCGGTGTGTCTGTGTGTCCCCGTGCCTCCACGCGTCTCGGTGTGTCTGTGTGTCCCCGTGCCTCCACGCGTCTCGGTGTGTCTGTGTGTCCCCGTGTCTCCACATGTCTCTGTGTGCCTGTGTGTCCCCGTGCCTCCACGTGTCTCGGTGTGTCTGTGTGTCCCCGTGTCTCCACGCGTCTCGGTGTGTCTGTGTGTCCCCGTGTCTCCACGCGTACTCTGTGTGCCTGCGTGTCCCCGTGTCTTCACATGTCTCGGTGTGTCTGTGTGTCCCCGTGCCTCCACGCGTCTCGGTGTGTCTGTGTGTCCCCGTGTCTCCACATGTCTCGGTGTGTCTGTGTGTCCCCGTGCCGCCACGTGTCTCGGTGTGTCTGTGTGTCCCTGTGTAACCAAGGGTCTCTGCGTGTCCCCGTGTCTTCACACGTCTCTAAGTGCCTGCGTGTCCCTGTGTCTCTGTGTGTCTGCGTGTCCCCGTGTCTTCACACGTCTTTGTGTCTCTGTGCGTCTTTACGTGTCCCTATGTCTTAGCCCCGTGTTTTCCTGTGTCTTTGTGTGCTTCTCTGTGTGTCCGCGTGTCTCCCCGTGTCTCTGTGTGTCCCCGAGTCTCTCTCTGTGTCTACGCGTGTCTCTGTGTGTCTCCCCGTGTGTCAGCGTGTCTTTATGTGTCTCCCCGTGTCTCGGCGTGTCTCTATGTGTCTCCCTGTGTCTCCACGAGTCTCTATGTCTCCCCGTGTCTCTGTGTGTCTTACAGTGTCTCTGTGTGTCTCCCCGTGTCTCTGTGTGTCTCCCCGTATCTGTGTGTCTCTCCGTGTCTCCGCGTGTCTCCCCGTGTCTCCCAGTGTCTCTGTGTGTATCCCCGTGTCTCTGTGTGTCTCCCCGTGTCTCTATGTGTCTCCCCATATCTCTGTGTATCTCCCCGTGTCTCTGTGTCTCCCCGTGTCTCCGTGTCTCTGTGTCTCCCTGTGTCTCTGTGTCTCCCCGTGTCTCTGTATCTCTGTGTCTCCCCGTGTCTCTGTGTGTCTCCCCGTGTCTCTGTGTCTCCCCGTGTCTCTGTGTCTCCCCGTGTCTCCCCGTGTCTCTGTGTCTCCCCGTGTCTCTGTGTCTCCCCGTGTCTCTGTGTCTCCCCGTGTCTCTGTGTCTCCGCGTGTCTCTGTGTGTCTCTCCGTATCTCTGTGTGTCTCCCCGTGTCTCCCCCTGTCTCTGTGTCTCCCCGTGTCTCTGTGTGTCTCCCCGTGTCACTCTGTGTCTCCCCGTGTCTCTGTGTCTCCCCGTGTCTCTATGTCTCCCCGTGTCTCCCCGTGTCTCTGTGTATCCGCATGTCTCTGTGTGTCTCCCCGTGTCTCTGTGTCTCCCCGTGTCTCTGTGTGTCTCCCCGTGTCTCTGTGTGTCTCTGTGTGTCTCCCCGTGTCTATGTGTCTCCCCGGGTCTCTGTGTGTCTCCCCGTGTCTCTGTGTGTCTCTATGTGTCTCCCCATATCTCTGTGTATCTCCCCGTGTCTCTGTGTCTCCCCGTGTCTCTGTGTCTCCCCGTGTCTCCGTGTCTCTGTGTCTCCCTGTGTCTCTGTGTCTCCCCGTGTCTCTGTATCTCTGTGTCTCCCCGTGTCTCTGTGTGTCTCCCCGTGTCTCTGTGTCTCCCCGTGTCTCTGTGTCTCCCCGTGTCTCCCCGTGTCTCTGTGTCTCCCCGTGTCTCTGTGTCTCCCCGTGTCTCTGTGTCTCCCCGTGTCTCTGTGTCTCCGCGTGTCTCTGTGTGTCTCTCCGTATCTCTGTGTGTCTCCCCGTGTCTCCCCCTGTCTCTGTGTGTCCCCGTGTCTCTGTGTGTGTCCCCGTGTCACTCTGTGTCTCCCCGTGTCTCTGTGTCTCCCCGTGTCTCTATGTCTCCCCGTGTCTCCCCGTGTCTCTGTGTATCCGCATGTCTCTGTGTGTCTCCCCGTGTCTCTGTGTCTCCCCGTGTCTCTGTGTGTCTCCCCGTGTCTCTGTGTGTCTCTGTGTGTCTCCCCGTGTCTATGTGTCTCCCCGGGTCTCTGTGTGTCTCCCCGTGTCTCTGTGTGTCTCCCCGTGTCTCTGTGTGTCTCCCCGTGTCTCTGTGTGTCTCTGTGTCTCCCCGTGTCTCTGTGTCTCCCCGTGTCTCCCCGTGTCTCTGTGTATCCGCATGTCTCTGTGTGTCTCCCCGTGTCTCTGTGTCTCCCCGTGTCTCTGTGTGTCTCTGTGTGTCTCTGTGTGTCTCCCCGTGTCTCTGTGTCTCCCCGTGTCTCTGTGTGTCTCCCCGTGTCACTGTGTGTCTCCCCGTGTCTCTGTGTCTCCCCGTGTCTCCGTTCTCGCCGACCCGTGCATGGGCGGGGCCTCTGGCTCCTGGCAACGGCGTCGCGTCCCCAGCGACCAAGGCAGCCATCACCCCCACGACAACCTCCTGTCTCTCTCCTCCTCCTCTTCCTCCTCTTCCTCCTCCTCTCTCTCCTCGCCTGTCTCTGTCTCTCTGTGTCTGCCCGTGCCATGGAGTCCCTCCACGCGGACGAGTCGGCCCCACAGGAGGCAGCCTTGCCCCGGACCTGGTTCAATCCCGGGACCGGGAGCGACGATTTGGGACCCGGCTGGGCTGTGCAGTCTGCGGTGGGGCTTCGAGACGCGGCGATCACCTTGGATGAGTGGAGCCTCCTCAACCAGACGAGGTGAGACACGGGCGGGACAGGTGAGACACGGGTGGGACATTTGAGACACGAGTGGGACAGATGAGACACGGGTGGGACAGGTGAGACACGGGTGGGACAGGTGAGGCACGGGTGGGACATTTGAGACACGAGTGGGACAGGTGAGACACGGGTGGGACAGGTGAGACACGAGTGGGACAGATGAGACACGGGTGGGACAGGTGAGACCCGGGCGGGACAGGTGAGACACGGGTGGGACATTTGAGACACGAGTGGGACAGGTGAGACACGGGTGGGACAGGTGAGACACGGGTGGGACAGGTGAGGCACGGGTGGGACATTTGAGACACGAGTGGGACAGGTGAGACACGGGTGGGACAGGTGAGACACGGGTGGGACAGGTGAGACACGGGTGGGACAGGTGAGACACGGGTGGGACAGGTGAGACGAGTGGGACAGATGAGACACGGGTGGGACAGGTGAGACACGGGTGGGACAGGTGAGACACGGGTGGGACAGGTGAGACACGGGTGGGACAGGTGAGACCCGGGTGGGACAGGTGAGACACGGGTGAGACAGGTGAGACACGGGTAGGACAGGCGATCTAACCCAAAACTATTGTATTATACGGGGGGTCTTCTTCGTCTTTGAGTAACACCACCACCAGTGGCAAATTGTGTCCAAACCCCAGCCCTCTAACTCGGCCCCCAATAACACGAGTTTTGTGTCCGTGTTTAGTTTGTTGCCCTTCCACCGCTCACCGCACCTCTCCGATGGGCAGCGTGGCGGTGTGTTCAGTCATCGTTCTGTAAGCTGAAGCCCAGCGCCTTGAGTGAAGGCGCTCGGCAAATATAAATTCAGATTAGATGTGCACCGTTAGTAAAAAAAAAAGTTTTTCTTGAATTTCATCGTGACCTTGATAGAGGATAAATCATTAACGCATGCAGGGTGGACACTAATTCCACGATGCTTAATGATTAACCAGCGTGTCGCTGCACCTGTATCGCTTGTGCAGGTACTCCTATCCGTGTGAATGAATGTGTGCACATGCGATAGGTACCACACGTCCTTGCGTGCGCTCATGTCTCTACAGGCTCGTGTGTGCCTGCATGTATGTACATGTGCTGACACGGTGTACAACAATGGGGTGTCTGTTTGTCTTTGTGTGCGTACATTGTGCTTCATAGGTGCTCGCTAACAGCACTCGCCCCCAACAATACGTTGAAGCAAGGCCGTAGTCATGGAGTCAACATTGGGGGGGACCAAATCTTCCAGGGGGTCTGGGAGCCTCCCCCAGAAACACAATTTTGAAAACGAATTTACTGCCATTTCTTACCTAAAATATAAAAAAATCACTAACAGTCTAATATATAGGATGGACTTTTTTTTACAATAATGTCTAATAGTGTAATGTATTACATTGCTCTGTTTTTATTTTTATTTTATACCTTTTCTTGTCTCATTGTATGTGATGGAAGAGATTAGGGATTCATAAAGTACAACCATAACCACAATCATATAAACATAAATCTATTTTATCGCAATATAATGGGGGGGGGGGACATTTTGAGCAATATATTGGGGGGCACACATTATAATTACGGCCTTGTGTTAAAGGCTTTCTGGAACATTTTGATTTAAAGCTTTCGTGACTGCAGTAATTCATATTCTTAGTTCTTTCGGTAAAGTCACGTTGAAGGGAAACAATAAAATAATATATATAAAACAATAAAGATTCTCACGACGTTTCGACCATAACACAAACGGTCGTCATCAGGTGTGTCGGTTCGCATTAATTAATTTATTTTTAAACGGCGCATTTATTTACTTATTTTAAAAAAGCGTCAGCGCCACGCGCAGCGATTTGGCAGTTTATTTAGAAGGACTAGTCCATCTATGTTCTGAAAAGAAGAGGGGGGAGACGAAAAATTAATGTATGCTGTCTGAAAGCCACTGTAAGCGTGAACAATCAATTAAGACGTGAAATGGTTTATCAAATCTTTCCAATGATTGCTAAGCCAGAATCCATCTTCTCGGTTGAAATTGTCTCTGTGTTTGTATATGTGGATAGCCTCATGAACGAGTCTCTCATGGTAGCCAGATGGCTTACAAAGAACCTCTGTCTTGGAAAAGTCAATGTCATGTGAGCCTACTGAATTATAACAATGATCTGCCACGGCCGAGGTGTTGGTCCTACCGTGTTTAAGGTCTGCTTTGTGTTCGCGAATGCGGTCCGAGACATGGCGTTTGGTTTCTCCAATGTAACTACTACCACAGAGGCAACTTAGTTTGTAGACACCAGGGTACTGTATGTCCGGAATCACATCTTTTACAGACGGAACCAGATCACGGATTTTATGTAATGTGTTGAAACGGACCTGGATCTTGTATTTATTCAAGATTTTGGAGATATTTTTTGTGATCCCCGCAATGTAGGGTAAAGTGATGGTTTTGAAAGGCTCCTCAAGAGGGTCCTTTTTCATGGTTTGAGTGATAGCTTTGCGGATTGTATAGTCGGAGTAACCATTAGCCTTAAGAGCTTGGTGTACGTGCTGGAGTTCACTGCCGATGTGTTCCTGGTCGGATATGCATTGGGCTCTATGGTACAGAGTCTTGATGAGAGAATTCTTCTGTGATGGATGGTGGTGGGAATCCGGTTTCAGATAAGCATCCGTATGGGTAGCTTTCCTGTAGACAGAGTGGCTCATTGAACCATCAGGTCTCTTTTTTATTAGGATATCCAAAAAAGGTAGCTTGCCATCTTTTTCGACTTCCCTGGTAAATCTGATGGCTGGGTGTATGGAATTGATGTGGTCAAAGAATTGGTCTAGAGCAGGCCGGCCATGTGGCCAGATGACAAAAGTGTCATCCACGTACCTCTTCCATAAGGTTGGGCGCAGAGTGGCAGTCTGGATGGCGTCAGCCTTAAATTTCTCCATGAAAATGTTAGCTATAACCGGAGATAGGGGGGAGCCCATTGGGGTGCCCTCAGTTTGTTTGTTGAAAGTTCCATTCCAAGTGAAGTATGTATTGGTTAAACAGTGTCTCACCAGGGGGGGTACCTCAGTGTTTAGTCCTTGATGAACCAAGTCTTCAATGATTGCGATGGTGTCAGGTACAGGAACCTTGGTGAATAAGGAAACTACATCAAAACTGACAAGCAGGTCGTCTGGGGACAGGGAAATACCCTTGATTGTCGATACCAGGTGAGTAGAATTTTGTACCGCAGAGGTGGTTTTTCCAGTGAAAGGACGCAGGATTTCAGACAAAAAACGAGCCAGTTTGTAGGTGGGGGAGTTGATAGTAGAGACGATGGGACGAAGGGGTGTATCTACTTTATGTATTTTTGGTAAGCCGTATAATCTTGGTGGCCTGGCAGCAGAAGGTGTCAACCAAAACTGTTTAGATTGATCAATTAATGCGGTTGAATCAGAAATTATCTTGTTGACGAGGCTGTTGGTGGGATCTCTTTTTATTTTTGTATAACTACCATCGTCGAGTAATTCTTTAATTTGTTGTTGTATTCTATTTTATCCATGATGACAGTAGCATTGCCCTTGTCAGCTGAGAGGACTACAATGTCATCCCTCTTTTTAAATTTATATAATTCAAAACGCTCATCTTTGCTGAGGTTGCTAGCTGGCATCTTAGCGTTTTTGAGGGTTGCAGCGATTTCAGATCTTGCTCCGTCTGCAGCGATGTGACCCAGGCCCCTGAGAGCAACGTCTACTTGGGCAATTATATCATTAACTGGTATGTGTTTAGGTATGACTGCAAAGTTTAGACCTTTAGCTAAAACGGATTTCAGACCATCGGAAATAGAACTGTTACTGCACGCCTTGACACGTGTCGGGGGAGTGGTGGCACAATGGTTGGCGCACTCTATCACGAACCCGGCCACGCGAGTTCGATTCCCACTCGCGACCGACAACAGTGGCGAATATCTCAACTCGGCCACGACCCTCCGCTAGGTTGACTCAGCCTCAAACGAGTACCTCGTTGCGGTGGGTAACCATCAGCACTGGGGGAGTACGAACGGCGGGCCGGCCGTCCGCACCGCCCGTCGTGTGCCGTGCTGGCCTTCAAAGCGCAAACGGCACTTGCCCCAACAGCCCGTTAAAGTCTACACGGGGACCTTTGTCTGTGTACGTGTGTATACGTGCTGCTGCAGCATGAGCGAGGTACACGCCGTGGCGTGCGTGCCAACGCGCGCGCGCGAGTGAATTCCCGTTCCGTGTTGACCGCTGGTTGCCGCGATACGCCAGGCAGCAGTGCTGTCACGTCCGTTGTCAAACGCGGCTCGGGCCGAAGCTTTCGTTGAGACTGGAAACGCGACGTGCACACACACACACACACACGTGTCGTCGGTCTGTACAGGGCGCTTAAAAAAAGTTAACACTTCGAGAGAATTTGCAACAATACCACAAGGAATGTGCCCTCCGGGCACAGGAGAACACCTGGAGAAGATCTCAGGCACGTGTTGACAATGATGGCGAACACGTGGCGACTCTTTGAAGCTATTAACATACATTTTTCATCATGTTGCAGTGTTTATTATTCGTTCTTTTTTCATTCAAAACGATAGTCCCATGTAAGTGTTAACGTTTTTTTTGAAGCACCGTGTGTGTGTGTATATATACAGCGCGTTGGGTACACGTGCCGTAACCTACACGTAGATCACACACGTGCCCTACACCACACGTGTATACTCTTTGGTTATTTCGGTAAAGTCACGTAAGTGAAAATAAAATAAAAATAACTAAATTAAATCACGACATTTCGGAAGCAACGCAAGCTTCCGTCATCAGGCGGGACAACCACAGCAATTTTTAGTTTTGTTTTGCTGTGGTTGTCCCACCTGATGACGGAAGCTTGTGTTGCTTCCGAAACGTCGTGATTTAATTTAGTTATTTTTATTTTATTTTCACTTACGTGACTTTACCGAAAGAACCAAAGAGTATGGATCCTTGCAGTCACGAAAACTTCAAATCGAGAACCACACGTGTGCTACACGCGCCCACGAGTCGCCGTCCTTGCTGTGCCGGCGCCCAGGCACGCCGAGACGCGCACCGCCGTGGAGCTGCCCGCGTGCGCGCGCACGGCCGCGAGCGCGCGGGTGGCGGAGGAGCGCGCGGGCGCCCACGCGCGCTACGCGGAGAGCACGCGGCGCCTCGGGGAGCGCCTGGCGCACGTGCACGCGTGGACGAGCGAACTGGAGCGCGAGATCCACGAGGTGAGGAGACGCCCGCGGGGGGCTGCGCGCGCACCGCTCCTCCCCCCTCCCACGTGTGCGCCACCCCCCCCCCCCCCACGTGCGTGCCACCACCCCCCCCCCCCCCCACGTGCGCACCCCCAACCCACGCACACCCCTCCAACCGCCCCCACGTGCGCACCCCCCCCCTACGCATGCACCCCCCCCCCATCCCACGTGTGCATCACGAGCCTAGTTTAGAATTAAAATATTTATTCGTACTGCAGGAGGAATCCGATGAGCTATGAAGCTCTTTTTCAAAGATGGCCCAGTGGGGGCACGGGGTCAGGACGTCACAACGAACACAATACACAAGCAAGACCGGAGTGCAAAGTATTGGAATGACTTAAGCAGTGCTGCTGCTGCTACTGCGGGCCCGTTGTGAGCAGTCGGGAGTTTTTGATGTGGATTCTATTCTACTCTTGTGTGCGATGGGGCAGCAATGTTGTTGTTGTCCATGAGCTCAAGGCACAATGTCGAGGTTTCCTGCCTGCTGCTTCTGGCCACGATGAGAGGATTTCAGTGGTGAGGAGGCAAAGCTTCACAGCGATGCTGCAACTCACGGCGATGATGTATCTGACTAAATGGATAAGCAGACGAAGACGTATATGCAGACAACATGATATATCAGCACCAAGTAGTATTTTTTTACACGACTATCAGCCCGACAGCCTTCTGGGAGTGCGTAATCTCACGGGCATTGATTCAAAATAAGCAAAGTCTGGACAGGTTTTAAAATAGTAACTCATCAGGAGTCGGATTTTTGCTCGAATCAACGCTGACGAACTACCAGATGTTATCGGTAAAGATTCCTCTCTTCATGGCAAGGGTGCGAGTTCGATTCAACATTTATATATTACAGTCTGTTCTCCTATAACGCTTATTTTTATAACGCGAATTGGATATAGCACGATTAATGTATTGGATAACTATTTTTTATAACGCGGTTGCGAATTGGATAGAACGCAAGTGAGCAAACAGAACTACGTCGCGCGAGCATGGATAAGCGGTCGTACGGCTGCCTCTGCGTAGGATCATCACACAAGGCGGGATGCTGCTGGATCATTCGAGATGCTACCCACGCGCCTCCGTTTTTGTTCAGCCTGCGTTACGCGTCTCACGTGTTATCGCGGACTATGCTTTACCCTATATATATTATTTTTGTAACGCGATATTTCCATAACGCGGTGATAGGAAAGCAACTACCACCACGTTGTAGGAGAAACAGACTGCGCAGGCACACACAATGTTCGCGAGCGTCTGCGCGCCAGTGAAGCGGGCGTCTGCACGCGGTTGGGCGCTCAAGAGGGTCGCGTGCGTTGTGGGTGGACGCCTCGCAGGTGACGTCGGAGACGGAGCTGCTCGTGGAACAGAAGCGGCGCCTGGAACGAGCTCTGGACGCCACGGAGATGCCCCTCGCGCTCTGCACGGACAACCTCCGCGCCCGCGAGCGCCGCCCGGGCCCCGAGCTCGTCCACGACGGGCCGCACGAGCAGCTCCTGCAGGCCCGTGATTTATTTACTATTTCAGCCACAGGGGCTTGGCCCAGGCAGTGACAAATACAATCTGTGGGCTGTCGTGAACTGCGGTGGTTCTCTTACAGGTCGACGGAAGAAGCAGTCTAGTCGCACCTCCGGTTAGCACCGTTGGCTATATGCGATATGCGAAAGAAGTTAAAACTAAACTGCTTTTTATTTGACCAGGTAAGGCCCACTGAGCTATATGGCTCTTGTTCAGAAGCAACCCGGCCACAAATGATAGCTCAACGAAGTGGCTTATTGCGTGGAAAATTTTAGCAGCCAAATGCTTAAATGCATGTTGATTCTGAATGTGGAGAGGAAATCCAGAGGACCCGGAGAAAAATCCATGTGACCGTGGGAAGAACATGCAAACTCCAAATATACAGCATGCGTCAGGGTCGGGATTGAACCCACGACCTCCTGCATACCAGGCGAGGTAGTTAACATCTCGCCACCGTGGCGCAACAGCATATATACATACCATACAGTCGACGAAAGCAGTCAAGCATTTAGTCACAGACACTGTTTGCCTATTCCACGTTGGTTGCGAAGAATTCATATATCCCAGTCACCTACAAGAAATCCAAATTGTCAAGTATAATACTACAATGCCAAGTTGCCTTTGACCAAATCAGCCAGAGTTCGCCCGATTCCCTCGTACCTACAAGTAGCACTGAGCCTGGACAGTGCTTCGATGAGTTACACCCACGCACAGCAGGCGTTAGAGGCTGTGGCTACCTCTGTACAATCCATTGCCCCATGCTAGGCTCTACTGCATGTGACTCCTGTTCTCCACCAAACACACGCTGACCACCCTGATGAGGTATGGTCAAATGACCGCTTCGACCCGCACAGCACAGGGGGGCGCCTCGTCTACAAGTGGCGAGACACAGAGTGGGCTCTCTACGTGGACACGTCAGGCGCAGTGAGTTGACGATCTGGACCTGGTCACAATTGACTGCACCCAAAAATCACATCAAAGTCACATTTCATTTCATTACATAGGCTGGTTGGTTTGTACAGCAGGGCCTGCGTGATCAGCATAGCCCCCCCTTAAGTGGTAACTGAAAGAGGATTATGTAATGAGCTGTCGTGATGTCACTCACCCTCAAGAGGCCACCCTCTAACACGGGAAACGACACGTGATGTTTCCGTGAGCTCTGCGTGGAGATATTCCTTGTCCTCGTGAGCACGAGCATTGCCTTGCGCAATTGGTGATGTCATTTTAAATGTTTTCCCGAACCGGGTGAACGAGGCCCTGGTAAAGCACGGACTGGCGGTGGGGTGACATGGCGAGTTTGTTATTGTGGGGGGTGAGCGGAAGGCCGGTCACTTGAGGCTGGTTGTCTGGTTGGCGAAGTGTTGGACAAAGTGCCCCCTCATCCTGAGATGTGAAACTAAAACAACTCGGAATATTCGTCAGCAGCTGGTTAGGTTATGCGAGTTGTCTGGCTCGCTCAGGGGGTCGGAAAATCTGCGGCTCTGGAGCTCCGTGCGGCTCTTTCAGGCGGACTGCTCCCTGATGTTATTTGTTGAGGACCATCGTCTCGTATTCACCACGTGAATTGCGGCGTTTGAAATGTTGATTTTATTTTTGTTATTGAATTCAAAAAAATGTCTCTTCTTGTTATTTTGGTTTGCCAATCCGTGGTTGAGCTCATACGTTGCACTCAAACTGATTTCCTCTTCACCGTATGTGGTGGCCTTTACAGGTTGTGTCAATAATAATGGAATACCAGGGTAGGGTGATTATCTCATCTGTCAAGTCAAAGAACACGAAATTCATCAGCCCCGTGACCTCCTAGATTAATGTTTGCAAGTTGTATTTGTCTACACAAGGGGAATGTCAAGCAACCTGGAGATAACCATTGATGAGGCCACAGATTTAATGTCCAGTCGTTAAAACTGATCGGAGGTGACCCAGACTCAATGGTTTGCAGAAAGTAAATTAGGGAAATGGCAGGCATCTGATGTAATTTAGTTGTAAACAATCACTGTGAGGAAAATACAAATTACACATTCAACTTATTTCCTGATTGATACGCAGATTATTATATTGTAGACACCCTAAGATGAATTACGAAAACAGTATTCAAAACAGACACGACAATTGATTCATCATAGTTTTTTGCTTGTTCAGATCGCGTAATAAAAATGTGTCGTAATTCCTCCTGCACCCGACAGGGCCAATTACTAAAGTTGCCACGTGAACGAAAGTCCTGACTCCTGCTTCGGCAGCGCCTGCTGATGCTGTGGGATGAGCAATCTCGCACGACATTTACAGCGGACGAGCAATCTCGCACGACATTTACAGCAGTGCGGACATTTGGCCTGATGAGTTACTCCCAACATCATCAGGCAGGAACCAAGATTGATGGCTGGTTTAGGACACACTCTGTTTACGCGATCTAACCCTAAAATAAATCATAATTTGATGACCCCCAGCTGATTCACTCGCCCCAGTCAGTGATTGTGGGAAGACAGTAGCAGTCAGAACATGCAGTTGCCAGAACATTGCTCCCTGCACAGAAGCCCCCTTCTTCACTCCGCTGTCCGGATATGGAACTGCCTCCCCGATGAACACATTGTCAAAGAAATCACCGACTCTGGTGTTCAGGCCTTCGAATGGCGAGCACACACGTGGTATATCTCCTAACTTCACCCGCACGCCTTGCAGGGACTGAATCTTTGAGCTGCAGTGAACCCAATGGTCTTGGCCGATTAGATTTACTAATGTCTGATATAGCTATTGTTCACAATATCACCCAATTAAACAAATACATTGATTAAAATATTAATTAAAGGCCTAAACAAAAGTTCCAAGCGTTGTCATTCGTTCCGGATCAATCCGCGTCTGCATCACAGCCCTGGAGGTCACTTGGAGGATTGTCGCGAACCAACTGCTGGTCTGAGTCCATGAGCTGCAGTGAACCCAACGATCATGGCCGATGAGATGTACTCATGCCTGATATGGCTATTGTTCACACTTGCTTTGCCCCACACATCCCCATAGCAACACGATGACGACGCAACGTGACCTAGCACGACACGACGGTCCCGTACTGATCTTCATTTACCCCCTCACCGCCCCCCCCCCCCATTCTCTCGTTCCTCTAACAGGAGGTGGAACTCATCTCCAGCGTGCAGGCACTGCTTAGGCGAACCCTGGACAAAGTCATAGAGCAGATACGGTGAGGAATGCTTTGGGAAAGAAACGACCACCTGCCGATTTAACGGTTGTTGAGGGAGATCGAATAGAATCGATCTCGTCGAACTGGCGACCTACGTCTGGATTTGCAATGCAGATATCGCCAGTTCGATATAGAATCTCTCAGCACGAAAGTTGAATGAATGATCTTAATACAACAATAACAGCCACCCCCGCTTCTGTCCAGCCCAGCAGTATCCAGTGCATGGGTACACGACAGTTGATGGGTAAGGTTGCGTCTCGTTCGGTACCCCCATGGCATCTGCCCAGCGTGGAAGAGGAGGCCAAGTACAGCAGACACGCGTAACCTCGTGGGCCGGGCACGGCCCGTGACTTCACGTCACACAGCCCTTGGCCACACGAGGGCCTGCCACTTCAAACGGTGCCACTAAACGATATTCATTCCGTTAACCGCGAGCAGCTTGGCAGCAACTAATTGGGCACAAGAAGGGAACATTTCTGTGGCCTCGCAACACTGCGTGTCTCATATCGGCACGATCGGCCACGTCAAGGATTCATTACAGTGACCGCAGCGACCTGAGGTCAATGCCGGATGATCCTAGTAGCAAAAGTAAATGCTACGGGCCCTGCGCTTTCAAGGGCCCCGCGCTAAACGCTTTCAAGCTATCAACTCCGGTTCAGTGATTCTGCACTTGCTCTATTACTATAGTACTATACCGCCTTCAACTTTTACGAACGACTGGGTGTTCAAGGTTAGCGATTTGTCTTATTATCTGTGGCTGTATAGCAAATGAAAAAATACAATTACTTTACGATGCAAGTTAAAAAAAAAAGTGTGTTTTAATATTTTCGTGTTTTTAAAATATTTTAGGGCCCCTTATTAACATATGCTACAGGCCCCTCACTCGCTTCATCCGGCACTGCCTGAGGCGCGTGGATCGATGCGTTGCGTCGCCCGCCAGACGCTGCGTGAGAGTCCCCATCTGACCCCCGGTCGGGAGAATGTTCCCCGAAACCCCCTCGAGTGACCCCGGCGGGCGGGCGGGCGGGCGAGGGCGTCGATACTGCCGCGAGCGTTGCGGGCGCGCTGAACGCCGCCCCCGCCAGCCCCCCCCCCCCAAGCCCTCCTCACTCCCCCCACCCCTCCTCACCCCCCCACCCCTCCTAACCCCCCCCACCCCTCCTCACCCTCCCACCCCTTCTCACCCCCCCCCACCCCTCCTCACCCCCCCCACCCCCGCAGCTTGAACCGCGACGCGAAGCAGGACCTGGAGACGGACTGGTCGGACAAGCGCGAGGCGCACGCGGCGGACGTCGCGAGCGGGCACCTCAACAACCAATCGGCAGACGCCGCGCGGCACGCGCACGCCGCCAGCGCGCACGAGAAGTGAGGCCCCCCCCCCTACTGAGAGGTCGGCATCGTGGGGGGCGAGGGGGCTGGAGGGGGGGGGGTAAAGGTCGGCGTCTGTCGCATATTGCGCCCTGAGAACAATTGTTTTAGAGGCGCTTTATACATTAAAAAATATATATTATTGTTATCATATTAACCACAGTGTATTTGAGTTTGCTGTTCACAGGTTATGTGGGGCTGTGTACTGTCACTCCACTGCTGGCCTAAGGGCCTCGCCACGCGCAATGCGGGGCGTGGCGAGCGGCTTGACCATACTTCACCTCGCTCGTCAGTGGGGGGGGGGGGGTTGGAGGTGCGGAGGTTCGATGTGGGGTCGTATAAACTGCAGACGGACAATGGGTTTCGCTGCACCCTCCGTCCACCCTCGAGTGCAGTGCTACTCCAGGAGGTGCGAGATGCCCTTTCTGGGGGTGCGAGACATGGCCAGATTTTGTTTTTTAGAAGGTAGATCATCGAATACACAAATGAAGCACGGGCACGTTAAGTACAACTACTTTTGATTTAAAGCTTTCGTGACTGCAGGGATTCATATTATTGGTTCTTTCGGTAAAGTCACGTAGAAGGGAAACAATAAAATAATAAAAATATAATACAATAAAATTATCACGACGTTTTGACTGCCACACAAGCCATCATCATCAGGTGTGAAAACCACAGCAAGAAAATTTGAAAAAAGTGGCGTTTTTTTACGTTAGCACCACGGAGACCGATTTGGCAGTTATTCAGATGGACGAGTCCAACTATGTTCGGAAAAGAGGAGGGGGGAGACGAAAATAATGGATGCGGTCTTTTTCCTTGCTTCTCTGTCTGTCTTACCTCTCCTTGCCTCTTGGTGTCCCTGTATATGTATTTCTGCTGACTTGTACCTCGTATTTGTTCACTCTGTCTATGCTGGTATGTTCAATCCAGAGGATGAACACGAAATTTAGCACTCTTCAGAAATTCGTGGTCCGCCAGGCAAGTGTCTAACTGTGTTGTTGGCCTGACTGGTTTTGCATCACATAATTTTTTCTTAGGTTTGTTGAATTCTCGTCTCTCATCTTCTTGTTGTATTTACCTCCGTGCAGTTTGGCTCTCTCTATGTGTTGCGTTGGTGTCGCCCTATGTACTCCCTCGCTGTTTGTTTTTTACACCTGATGAAGATCGCTTGTGTTGCGGTCAAAACGTCGTGATTGATTTATTTTAATATAATTTTATGGTATTTCTACATACGTGACTTTACCGAAAAAAACAATGAGGGATCTCTTTTTATTTTTGTATAGCTGCCATCGTTGAGTAATTCTTGAATTTTGTTGTTATATTCTATTTTATCCATGATGACAGTGGCATTGCCCTTGTCGGCTGAGAGGATGACAATGTCATCCCTCTTTTTTAATTTATATAATTCAAATCGCTCATCTTTGCTGAGGTTGCTAGCTATGTGTTTATTAACATGATACACATTGTTTTAGGATTGAAAACCAAAGGGGTGCACGGCTGCTCTCGTCTGACAGAGCCACCGTTTTGCCCACATCATGGGTCCAGCGTGGCGCTTGAAATCGTGAGACTGAGACAAATGTCCCCCGAATTGTCGCAAAAGCTTTCGGGGGAGACACGGGGACAGCCTCTCTGCGCCCTTAGTAGACCACCCCTGTCCCAAAGCAGGGTCGTGTGGTAATTAAGGTTTTTTGGGTTTAGATCGCATTAATCATGTATCATTGTGACGGTGACGTCACAACGGCGCCTGTGCCAGGCTAGGTGCACTTTGAGGCCACGTGAAGTGTCGAAGGCTCGCTGACACGAGGTCACTGGACAGACCCTGCAGGTGTATTGGGTTTGCTGACTGAGATGACTGGCAGATGCACCAGCTGTACCCCCTACTGTGCCAACTTGCTGTATTTTATCTGCCCGGTGCTCCGCTCGTTGTTGTGAGCGTCGATCCTCTGCCCTCCGTTGTTGTTGGAGGGTGTTAACCCACCACCACCCCCTCTCCGCCCCCCCCCCTCTACCCCCCCCTCCACCCCCCTCCGTCCCCCCATCCACCCCCCCCTCCGCGCAGGACATTGACGGTGAGCGGCTGGGAGCAGCGGGCTGCGCGCGCCAACGTGGAGCGTGCGCGGCGCGAGCGCTCCGTGTCGGTGCGGCTGCGCGAGGTCGCGGGCCTCCTGCTGAGCGACGCGGCGCGCGACCTGCGCGACCGCAACGAGGGCGTGGGGCGGGCGCTCGAGCGGCGCGCCCGGGAGGTCAACGAGGTCAAGGTGGACCTCGAGCACCAGCTGAGCAAGGTGGGGAGCCGCCACCGCCGTCGTCCACCGCCGACGCTTCCGCGGCCCCGCGGCACTCGACGCGCGTTTTAGCTCCGCGTCCGGCCGGTGGGCGCTGTTTTTGTTCTTGTCGTTGCTTGCCCGTCCGTGGGCTGTTCGTGGCCCTTGAGTCGCCCACGTGCGTGTGCATGCACGTGCACCGCGCGGGGCCATCCGTGCTGATCGCAGGTGCGGGGGGAAAAGACAACAAACGAAGCACAAAAAGCAATTTTAAGGAAATTCGTTTTCCATATAGATTCAAAACTATCTCCAGTAGCTTTCTAAATACCATGCTGTTTGGAGGCATATCTTATGTTATTTTATAGTTATTTTATTTTTTATATAGAGCACCTTCACTCAAAGCGCTCTATATGTCATAGTTAAAAAAATATATGGTGACAAAATAGAATAATTAAGATGGTAGGAATGAGTGAGGAATGAGTGAGGAATGAGTGACCGCGATAGAGGGGTACTTACGGGGTCAAGAAAGGGAAGGGATGGACGGGAAGGCCACCCCCTTATGCCGTGCCGGCCTTCACCTCCGATTAGCACGGTCGGCTATGTACGGTGCAAAAGAAGTTCAACATACATACAAGGAGTAGGCCAACATACTATTGTTTTTACCAGGTAAGGCGCACTGAGATGTACAGCTCTTCTTCGGAAGTGACCTGGCCACAAATGATCACTCAACAAAAGTGGCTTATCACGTGGAATTTTATAGCAGCGAAATAGTCTCAATGCGTGATGTTCATTCTAAATGTGGAGGGAAAAAACGGAGGACCCGAAGTAAAATCCCCGCAACCCCGGGGCGAACACGCAAACTCCCAATACACAGCAGCAGCAGCAGGCGTCAGGGTCGGGATCAAACCCACGACCTCCTGTATACCAGGCGAGGTCGTTAACATCTCCTAGCCGCCGTGGCGTCCCCCTGGCGGGGTGGGGGGGGGACTCCACTAGAGCTCCCTCTAGTGGAGCTCCCTCTAGTGGAGAAAGCGAATCTCACGGCGGCACCCTCACGGATTTGCGCCCCCACCCCCCGGCCGGCCGCCACTTGCCCAGGTCCTGGAGGAGACGTCGGCCCAGGAGAAGAGCGTGAAGGAGCTGGCGTCGGCCCTGCGTGACCTGGAGGCCCCACGCAGGGTCACCGAGACGCGGCTGCGGCTGCGTGGGACGCGGCCCTCCTCTGAGCTCTGCCACGACCCCGCGCACGAGAGGTGAGTGCGGCCACGCGGGCCGCGGTTATCAAAGTTGTTCCCTCTTGATACTTTCACGTGGTCTAGCATTTACACGTACCCTTTCTCTCCTGCTTAAACATGTCGTCTCGAGTCTCAGTGAGGCATTCATGGATTTATATAACAAAAAAACACTCGTAATTGGTGTTAGCATTGTTGCTATTACTGCTGGAGGGAGGATAATACAATGTCCTGCTGTACCCTTGCCAAGACGCGTTCAGCAAACCTGTCCCATATCAGACACACGTGTTGCACAGATCATGAATATATTTATACATTAATTGCATGACAAGCTTGAGCAAGTAGCAGCAGATATACTTATAAATAGCCAAAACAAGCCCATTTCATGTTGACGCTTCCATTGATATTGAAAGTCCAACTCAAAACCCGATGTAAGCCTGCAAGACTGAATTTTTTTATGCAGGTGTAAATTAAACTGAAAGGAGAGAGAGTCGTAGATATAATAAGAGAGAGAGAGAGATGGCATGGGGTTGAAAATTTGAAGATTTGGAGGGGCACAATGGACGGAGGTGGCAAGAGGTCGTGAAGAGTGGAGGGACTGCCGGAGGTCTTGGCCCATCAGTGGGGCGTCAACGGCCAAGCGAGAAGAGAGAAGGGAGGGCACTGACAGTCCCCCTGTCAATCAGATTGAGTTAAATCAGCTTATGGGATAATATGATCTCGCACATCTTGATGGACTTTTTGTTGTTGCTATTTGGTTGTGACAAGCTTCGCCATGAAGGCAGATGCAACCCAATCGATTAATGTTAGCACCCGCATTTCAAAGATAATGCGATTTTTGGCCAGGCGCCATAATCGAGGCAGCCAGATTGAGGCAGACAGATAGTCTCTTGTTTCTTTGCTCGGCGAGGTAATGGAGCCCACTACATTTTTAACCACTGCAATTTAAGGCCTCGTCCAATGACATTACAAATGTCCACAAACTTCACAACAAACGCACGTAGGAAAGTTGTGTTGTTTGATGTATTGACGCTGACGTGAGTTGGACTGCATTATGGAGGTCAACGTGGGGTGTTACGCCAGTGTGTGTGTCTTTGATGTGCGTGGATGTGTGTGTGTGGATGTGTGTGTGTGGATGTGTGATGATATGTTGTGTGTGTGTGTCTGTGTGGATGTGTGTGGATGTGTTGTGTGCGTGTGGATGTGTGTGGATGTGTTGTGTGCGTGTGGATGTGTGTGGATGTGTTGTGTGTGTGTGGATGTGTGTGTGTGTATTGTGGTGCTGGGTCACCCCACCCCCTCCAGTGCCGTGCGGGCCTTGATGGGCGCTCGCTCACAGCACTCACCCCAACTGCTTGTTCAGGCTGTACAGGGGATCGTCGTCTTTGTATTGTGTGGGGAGCGGTAGTGCAGTGGTTAGCTACGAATCAGGCGACCCGAGTTCCATCCTCGCTCACGGCCACCAACACACCAGTGACGTCGATTATCTGAACGGCTCCTGGGTCTCCCCTAGGTCGACTCAGCCTCCTGCCGGCCTTCATGGGTGCTCGCTGATAGCACTTGCCACAAAAGTCTGTTAAGACTACAGGGGGGATCTTTGACTTGTTTATTGTGTGTGCATTCGGTGTTTGTGTGCCGTCAAAACACGACGGAGAGCCCTAAAGATTTTCTTCGTGAACAGGGGTTGGCAACGAAAATATCAAGAAGAGCCATCGTTTTTTAATGGGATAAAATATTTTATTTGAAGAGCCACAATGCACGTGAATACGAGACTGTGGTCCCATATAAATAACGTCAGGAAGCAATCCTTGAAGATCCCTGCCCATGGTAAACTGGACTCCCATGCTAAACTGGACTTGCATGGTGAACTGGCCTCCCATGGTAAACCCGACTCCCATCATCAGGGTTCGACAACTAAAGTAACAAGCAGGGACATCTTTTTCGAATTCGATTAAAACAAACCCTTCAGTATCTCAAGAGCCGTAATGCAGTCCCTTAAAGAGGCGCTAGTTGCCGACCACAATTCATGACAAATGCTAAAATATACCTCGCTGCCTTTGGGCCCTGCCTGGAAGAAAAAAACAGCCCCCCATTTAGCCAGCCCCCCCCACCCGCCCCCCCACCCGCTTAAACACGGCTCTGCGTGCCCCCGCCCCCACCCTCCCGCACGCGCGAGCAGCCTCCTGGAGGAGCTGGGAGAGCAGCACGCGCGCGCGGAGGCACTGCGGGGCGCGCTCGGGGAAGCGGAGGCTGCGCTGGACGCCTTGGGGGCGGCGAGGGCGCAGCTGCAGCACGAGCTGGCCAACAAGGCGGCCAGCATCGCCACGGAGCGCCGGCGCTGCATCCCGCCCCGAGCCGGCTTCCCCAGCGCCGTGCGCCTCTCCGGCTACTGAGGGGCCCTTCCTGCTCCTCCTCGCGCTCCGCGGTCGCCGCGTGTCACTAGTCGCGCGGGATCAGTCGCCGGTGGAAGCGAATTGGGAGCGGTGGACGAGTGGGTGGTGAATTGGGTCCTTTGACACGCGCGTTGAACTTCTTTCGCAACCGTGTGTTAGCCGGCCGTGTGTTAGCCGGCCGTGGTAATCGGAGGTGCGGGGGAAGGACAAGAAAATAGAGGCAAAACAGCAAGGGAGTAATGATCAACTGAAGTAGGATTATCTACGTTCGTGATACAAGCAATACGTCGTGGATGTCAGGATCCATGGCTGTATTTACGAGGCGGATTGAGACGGTATAATTGGGATTTAAGAGAATACATGTGTTTATCAAATCGTGCCCCTTCCTCATTTTATTTTGTATTGTTCCTAACAGTCTAAATGTGGAAGCGAATTGGTCATATTATTTGTGAATGCCTTAATTGTTAACTATCGATTTTGATGATGCATGATTTGATGGCATGTTAATATTCATCACTTAACATGGATTCTTATGCTCAGAATAGATGCATCAACTCATGCATGTCAGAACCCATATTCGAGGATTTATAATTTATTCACGTTCTTTGCTTACTTGCATTATGGCAGAAACAAGCCAGTACAAACGAGGCATAGCAAGACGGACGCTAACAAATCAAAACGAGACAAAAGAGAATCAATCCACAGGGTGGCCCAAATGTCTTGTGACCCCCCCCATTTCAATTCTCTAAAACAGATTATTTTTTTAAAGTAAGGTTTATTTGAACAGAAATAAATATGCAAAGTAAAATAAATTGGGGTCAATTAATTGGGGGGGGGGGGGGGGTGTAACAAGACATCTGGAGCACCCTGTACTTTTATACAAGTTGCTTCAAAAAATGTTAACACACTTATATGGGAATATCGTTTATAAGGGAAAAATAACAGATCATACATTGTAACATGATAACAAATGTATGTTCATAGCTTCAAAAAGTCAAAGAGTCTCCGCCATCATTGTCAACACGTGCCTGGAATCTTCACCAGGTGGCTCCAGAGCCCCGAGGCACCTTTACTGTGACGTTGTTGCAAATTCTCCGAAGTGTTAACACCTTTTTTTGAAGCACCCTCTAACTCGTGCATATTGAACTTCTTTCGCACCGTACGTAGCCAACCGTGCTCACCGGAGGGTGCGAATCGTGACCGTGAATCGTGACGGCTGTAATGAAATCATCGCGCGCCCAGCTTCGCGACGCAGATGTCGACCACGGAGCCCGTTCCCCTTGGCGTTTGCCGGGGGCTGGCGGAGTCATCGGATCGGGCCGTGAATTCGAGACCGCGGTGCACCGCACGCCCCTCCTCCGTTGGCCCCATTCCCTTTTTCACCCTTCACACTGTGCCCTCTCGTCACTTCATCCCAACCCTGCACGTCATCGCTCGCTTGATCGTCAAACGGTCCTCTCGTGGAGAGACGAAGCGACGCCGCATTTAGGAACATGCGTCAGCCGTGGTCTGAGCGAGGTTTCCAGTTCGAACGCGGTGCCGTTAATTCGAATGCACTTTCGTGTAAAAGCAACGGGATGGATGACTACATGCACCGTATAACAGCGTCACTCGTGCACCGTTTTAAAACCCTCGAATATTGAAATCAATGCAATTTATAACGCGGTGAATGAGGAATAACGGTGAATAAAAACCCCGCACGTGAGGAATTCACAGACGGCTATAATAATGATAAGGAAGCTGACTGAGGAAACGCCAAGGCCACTCGCGAGCAACAACGGAACAGATTTCCCGTTTTTTTTTGTAAAACGGGAAATCACTCAAAATACAGACGTAACATCTGGCAACATTTAATTTGAATAGTGTGTCAACAGGGAGTTGCTCGAATACCGAAATAACAATGAGTGTGATTTTGACCAATTATTTCATCCCCATTCTTCATGTAAATGCAGTAATTAGCCTGATCTGTGGCGTCACCTAATTGCTTGTGAACACTGTGGGACTTGAGATTAAAATTGTCTCTTAGACAGAGTAGCAGCAGCAACGCACGCGGCCCTGATGCAGCGATGGCACTTTTCCCATCTTTCCCAACATATAGTAAACATCGATAACCATTAGCCACTCATTAGCGATGCGTGATTTCTCAGAAATAGACTTGGGATGGAATCAATTTGACGCAAGCCCTCTCCGCTAACCGCGCGATGAACGCGCCACAGGGCGCGAGAGAGCGAGAGATCTTTGCTGCACGCTGACGTGACGAAGCGCGCACGAATGAATACGTTGAAGCGAGTGTGCGCTCAGCGTATTTTCGGACACTCTTCTTCTCCCGCGCGTTTGTCCCACTCGCGCGGAGCTGTTGCGCTGTCCTTGACGACCTTCTCCACGCCGCCCTGTCCTGCGCCATCTCTCTTTCCCATTTTCGGGGACACCGTGTCCGATCGCACCACATCGCCCCTCCACCTCTCCTTCTGCCTTCCTCTTCATCTCTTTCCTTCCACTTGCATCACTTGCCACCTTCTGACCCACATCATTTTCCCGTCGTCTCTCAACATGACTGAACCACACCGGCCTTCTCTCTCTCTCTCTCATCTTCTCTGTGAGCTTTACCACCTTGAGTCTTCCATTCACTTCTTCATTTCTCACCCTGTCCTTCTTTGTTAACCCCAACATCCACCGCGACATCCTCATCTCTGTGGCTGCCACAGATTGGTCCTCCCTCTTTCTTGTGCCCCGGCACTCGGGCTCCATACAACAGCGCAGGCCTAGAAGAGTCGTAGGCGCTTAGAATGTCCGGTCATGTTGTTTGTGGGTGCATATATATACAGGGTGGTCCACACAAATACGGACACTAACAAATCAAAAAGAGACAAAGGAGAATCAATCTATAGGGTGGTCCAGATGTCTTGTGCCCCCCCCCCCCCACCCCCATTTAATTCTCTAAAACGTCATATTTTTTAAAATTAAAAGTAAGGTTTATTTAAAAACAGAAATGAATGGGCAAAGAGACAAAAAATGTTGGTGGTCAATTAATTGGGGGATCATTAAGACATCTGGAACAGCCTGCATATTGCAGCGCTCCATACACCCGTCTGTGCTGTGCTTCGGTTCAACTCCTGTGTTTAAACAACTTTGTTAGCATGCAGCTTTCAGTAGGACAATGTTTTTTGGGGAATAGTTTTTTGGTTTGGGTTTTTACAGTGGAGGCCATCAATGATTGTGTTTTTTTCCCCGCTTTCGGCTACATTTTGTTATGATTTGCACTGTGGCGTTGAACGTCTGCGTGGATGTTTACACGAATTCGATACACCGCTCTATTTAAGTTGATCTCCCCACAACTCTGGCTGGCAGGCCACTGAGATTCACACAGTTGAGACCATCATCGTACAATGATTGGTTACGCAGCGGCGAGACGAGCTTCTTCATCGCTCACCTTCCTTTCTCCGGCAGTGGCAGTCGCTCGCCTGCAGGCCTAAATATTCCCAAGTACTCCTCCTCTGCCTCGTAACTTCCCCCTCGTGCGTGGATGACTTCTCTTTCTTACTGCTTTGCCGCATGGCAAACTGCTTCAGTCTCCGTTCCGTCGACTCGTCCCATCCAAACAAGGCCAGTGTCTTTGCATACCTTGCACCAAAAGGTTGTCCCTCCCCCCTTCCTGTTTGCCTGACCACGTCTCGGTTAAATTTTGACTTAAAGCTTTCGTGACTGCAGTCATTAATATTCTTTGGGTCTTTCGGTAAAGTCACGTAGATAGGTTGAAAGGAAATAACAAGAAAAAAAGCTACGACGTTTTGATCTCAACGCAAGCGGTCGTCATCAGGATAGGGAAAAATGATGAAGACCGCTTGTGCTGCGATCGAAACGTCGTTGTTTTTTTTGTTATTTTTGTTACTTTCTGTGAACCTATCTACGTGACTTTACCGAAAGACCCAAAGTACACGTCTCGGTTGTAGTTTCGCGACTTCCCAGGAACCTTCTCGGCCGGTCAATTTTCCGCTACCAGGATCTTTATTTTATCTTCATAGTTGCGTCTACCCAACTGAAAGAAAGTATCGATATTAAAGCGTACACGGCTTGTCGCCCGTCGTTAAGCCAGCGACGCTGCGGTTTGGATCCCATAGATATCAACCCATACAGTTTACCCCGGATTCTTTCCATGGAAATTGAGTTTTTTTACATCCACACGGCGTACAGCCGTTTCAATCCGGCCAAATTAAAAAAAGTCGTGGAACAGCATCAGCATGCAAGATCACAGACAATATAGCACGACATGTAGCATCGTGGACACCAGTTATCAAAATTAATACGTTAAACTGTTCTTGTTTCATAACATAATTTTGTCTATTTGTTTGTGTTTCTCCCTTGTGATGGGACTTTGTAGGATGAACGTTGAGATTTATAAGAGCACGGGGTGACCAATAAGGTCTGAATTGGTCTGTAATAATATAGGGCACTGATTAGGAGTTGACAGGTATGGGATCAAAATGCTGTCAATGTTGATGGTCTACTGTGGGTCATCAAATGACTACACGAAGCTCATAACGCAAATGAGGTCTTTAATTCCGGCACTCCCCAGCTCAAGAGTCCTGTTTTCTTTGTCTTTTTTTAAAGTTTTAAAAGTTTACGTGTCTGGCATTCGTTGGAACGCTCTGTGCGGAGCATGTGGCACCTTCAGCGGTTGGATACAATTGAGGCTTGTTGAAGTGACAATTGCACGACTCCACTGCTCGTTGTCCAACGTCAAATATAATCACTTCAACGTACGGTATAGCGCGGCCACGCAGCATTCACAAAGTCGACGACAGAGAATGCCTCGGAGATGCGAGGACGAGCGCAGAGGCAGCCACGCAGTGAGCTGGCACCAAATTCCACCCCTCAAGCTCTGCAGTCCTCTATGTGTGAAGGTGTTATCGGCAAAATTGATGAGTGTTTATGCACGCGGGGGAGGAAAGCGAAACAATTGGATTAGGTCATCATGGAGCTTTCAAACTCTTTAATGTGACGCCAATGACAAAATGTGGATGCGGTCAGTTATAAAAAAAAAATAGAAGCATGCCCTGCTGCTTTACCGAAAATGTTAATGTCTCTTCATCGTTCTCATTCACAATTGCCGCATCACTGCAGACGGGAGAAACGTCACTTTGCGCGCGTCATCACTCAAAGAGCCCAATGCTTCACTGTGTGTACTTGACAAGATGCCTGCTGTAACACAATACACGTGTCACGTGACACTAACCTATGTGTACACCTTTCTTTATAAACAAGTTGCCACGGAGGCGTATTAATCTATACATCGCGCAAGACAATCGATGCACGTATGTTGTATATAATTCGTGTTCGTGACCTCTGTAGCCACTGGAGCAGGGAGCGGTTCTCAATCTGTTGGTCACGTGAAACTCCGCACCCCGCCAAAGCCTTTTAGGGTGTAGTGGGATGCATCCTGCGAATCCACAACATGAAACACGTGCCTTGCCAACACAAACTACACGGATACACAACATGAAACACGTGCCTTGCCAACACAAACCACGCGAATACACAACATGAAACACGTGCCTTGCCAACACAAACCACGCGAATACACAACATGAAACACGTGCCTTGCCAACACAAACCACGCGAATACACAACACGAAACACG